AACTCAATTCCCAGCATAAAGGTAGGATCCAGGACTCAAGGACATGGCTTAGGAATGGCTTCTGACCATTAAAGCAATGGAAAGAGTCAACTTCTGGAAATTTAATTCCTGGGCTGTACCATAAGCATACTTTGAAAATGAGAAATAATCTAAAGACTGCTCTAGAGAGAAGGCCCCAAGAAAGGGCCCCAAGAAAGATGCCTACCTGTTAGCCATGTGTGATATTATTTTTATAAACATGTAAACTATTAGAACTATAAAAGACAAGGAAATATGCAAGTTTAAAAATTCTTTAGCCTTTTGACCCAGCATTCCACTTCTAGGAGTATATATATATATATATATCAGAAACACTAATTCAAAAATAAGTATGTACACCTATACTCACCACAGTGCAATTACAATAGCCAAGATTTGGAAGCAGCCCAACTGCCCATCAGTAGATGAGTGGACAAAAAAGTTGTGGTACATTTACACAATGGACAACTATTCCATTGTAAGGTAAGAAAGGAAATCTTACCTTTTATAACAGCAGGGATGGACCTGGAGAGCATTATGCTAAGTGAAATAAATCACTTAAAGAAAGACAGATACCATATAATTTCACTTATATGTGAAATCTAATGAACAAAATAAACAAAATAGAAACAGACTCACAGATACAGAGAACTGACAGCTGTTAGAGGGGAAGAGTGTTGGAGGACTGGGTGAAAAAGATAAAAGGATTAAAAAAAAAAAAAAAAAAAAAACCAAAACTCATAGACACAGACACAGTATAGTGATTACCAGAGGAAAGGTGGGTGGGGAGGCAGAAGAGGTCAAAGGTGGGGTAAATGGTGATGGAAGGAGACTTGACTTTGGGTGGTGAACACACAATCTACAACAGGTGTTACAGAAGGGTACACCTAGCCGAAACCGGTTTGGCTCAGCGGTAGAGCGTCCGTCTGCGGACTGAAAGGTCCCAGGTTTGATTCCGGTCAGGGGCATGTAAGTTGGTTGCGGGCACATCCCCAGTAGGGGGTGTGCAAGAGGTAGCTGGTCGATGATTCTCATGGACGTTTCTAGCTCTCTATCTCTCTCCCTTCCTCTCTGTAAAAAATCATAAAATATATTTTTAAAAAAGAAAGAAAAAAAAAGAAGAAAAAAAAAAGAAGGGTACACCTAAAACCTATATAATTTTATTAACCAATGTCACCCCAATAAATTCAATAAGATTTTAAAAATAAAAATAAAATAATTCTTTAATTTTACTGATTAGGGCACTTAAGTCCATACAAGGAAAGTGAGTTATCCAACATAACACAGATAGTATTTGAGTCAGGCTTAGTAAAAAAGACTCCTTTAAATGTTTAAAAATCAGTTCTGAAAAAATGATATGATGCTTGAGATTTGCTTTAAGTTAACTCAGCGTGTTATTTTCCTTGAGTGAGGGAGCCTAAAATAAGATGGGCAATGAATGCGTTAATCATTTTTTAAACCGGGCAATAGGTCCATTGGACTCATGATATTATTCTGTGCAAATGTGTATGTTTTAATTTTCCATAATGAAAATTTAAATAACTACTAAAATAGTAAGAAGCAAAGATCTCAAAATAAGTGGTAAATCTGTCAAACTTGTGACTCAAAAACTATATTATAAGACCTGCAGCAGATTGTTTGTGAACTGAGTATATTTAATATCACTCTGCTGCAACTGTTGAGGTTTTAATTTTTTTCATCATGTCTATAATAAAAGATGCATTTTCTCATTAGGCATGCTAAAACTATCCAAGCTCAGAAACTACACAAATCCACTGAATTAATTAGCACGTGAAATATGAAAATTACATTTGGAACAAAATTAATTCTTTACATTAAAAAAGGCAGATTTTCCACAACCCATTCATGCACTACACATTAATAGGTCAGTTTAGGTGTATTACACAGTGATTATAATCATCTGCATAATTAAAGCCCTTCAAACAAGAAGAAGATATGGTACTCAGAGTCAAAGAAAAGAACTAGAGTTTCAGCAGCTTATTACTGCAAAGCAAATCTTCCTAACAAATCACATGGCTACTTAGAAAAAAGAAAATAAATTTAGTTCATAGCATTCACTTGACTATTTATGTAACACCAAGCACACTATATCTAGGGTGCTTCAACTTTGAGTTTAGGAGATACAACATTTCCTAAGAATACAATAAGTACTTAAAGAGATTAGCAGAGAGTGACAAATGTCACCTTGTAACGATCAGTTTTAAGGCCATTAAAAAGCAGTGCAAGGAGGAAGAAGAGAGGAAAAGGGATTCTTAAAGCAATATATAGTGCAAAGTCCTAATTTACAGGACACACAATGATATCAGCAATATTGTGATGGTTTTTTATTTTTCTGATAAATGCTAGAAAAAAATTTGGGGAGAAGATTTAAAGACATATAATCCTATTACCAATAATAGCTACTTTAAAATATATATGTTTTTATTGATTTCAGAGAATCGATTGGTTGCCTTCTATAGATTCCCTACTGGGGATCGAACCGTGACTTCCTGATTAATAGGTCAATGCTCAAACACTGAGCAACACTACTTTTTTAATATTTTGTTTATTTCTCTCCAGCTTTTTTATTCAGTCAGTTTTTTTTCCCCCAGTCATTTTTCTATGCACATATTAACATGTTAATTTTTTATTTTTTTTTTACTTTGGTAAACTGGGTTATGCTATAAATTTGTTTCCTTTTTTCTTTTTAAATATATTTTTATTGATTTCAAAGAGGAAGAGGGAGAGATAGAAAACAGCAGTGATGAGAGAGAATCATTGATCAGCTGCCTCCAGCAAGTCCCCTTACTGGGGATTGAACCTGAAACCTGGGCATGTGACCTGACAGGGAATTGAACCATGACTTCCAGGTACATAGCTCAATACTCAACCACTGAACCACACCGTCTGTCTAAGCGATTCCTTCTAAATATTTCCCCCAAAACAGGATTTTTAATATTTTTATATGGTGTAGTATTCCATCCTATGGTTGTATCATGGTTTATTTGACCAACCATTTTCTATTAAACATTTAAATTAATCCAATTTTTCAATTTTAAGTAACGTATTTGAAAAAATTCTTAAATATAATTTGCTTATATCTTCAACTATTTTCTTGGGCCAGGGCCCTAGAAGTGGAATATATTGAGTCAAAGGTTTGAACTTTTCCAATTTTTGATACATACTACATTCCAGAAAAGATACCGAAGTTACCTATCCACTAATAGTATTATTACTCTTCTATCTGTGTGATTCTGGTCAGAAGAAACACAGATGATGAGCAAGCCGTAGCCCCAAAATAAAACAAACACACAAACAACCTTTTCCCTTCAAAAACAAAGGGTGCCTGGCCAGCATGGGTCAGTGGCTGAGCGTCACCAGGTCACGGTTCTATTCCGGGTCAGAGCACATGACCAGATACAGACTTGATCCCCAGTAGGGGGCATGCAAGAGGCAGCCAATCAATGATTCTCTCTCATCATTTATGTTTCTATCTCTCTATCCCTCTCCCTTTCTCTCTGAAATAAAAAAAATAAAAAATAAAAATAATAAATAAATAAAAAACCAAAGGGTTGATTATAAATACAAATACCTGAAAGGTGAAACATAGAGGGAAATCCCTAAGAACCACAGCCCTGGAACTGTCTCAGCCACAATAAACCAGCTGCAGTTCCCTTGAACTCACTAGCCTTTCTCTTGCCTCATCGAATCTGTGAGCATTGTTCCCTTTGCTGGACCATCTCCAATCCACACTACTCACTTGCCAACCAGCTTACCTTTCTCCTCCAGGAATTCTTCAGTAATCCACAGTCTAAACTAAATATTCTTCGACAGCACCCTATATTACCCCTATTTAGAACTCATTTCATACACTGAAGAATAATCAATGGTCTGTCCCCCACACTAGGCAATGAGTTCCTTCAGGGCAGGGACTATTTCTTCATTTCCTGTTGCATTTTTGGCATCTACAATGTACCTGGGGTATGATAGGCACTGAAGAAAAATGTATTAAGTGAACTAATCAATCACAAAGCAGAAGGTCTAGGGGAGGGGTTAGAGAACCTTTTTGGTCTGTAAAGAGCCAAACAGCAAAACTTTCAGGATTTGGGATTCCCATGGTCTCAGTCACCAATACTCAACTCTGCTTCTATAGCACAAAAGCAGTCATAGACACTCTGTAAGTGAATGGACATGGCTATGTTCCAATAAAACTTGGTCAAAACCAGGTGGCATGCCACATTTTGGATGTGGACCATAGTTTTCTAATCCCTGATTTAGAGGAAGAAAAAAAAAATATGAAGAAAAGATGAAGAAGAGACTTACTGCTTTAAACTTATGCAAAGTTTAGGCTAAATCGTATTTACACAACTAAATTACTAGCGTTTTATACTCTCAAATTCCTTTTCTCTGTGACTTGGTCTGTAATGCAGAGTAAAGGGAAGGGAAGCAACTGAAGAAGGTAGGAGAGGATGGCATTCTGATGGGAGCTGAGCTCCGGTGTCAGGCCTCAGGCAAAAAAGGATCAGTGGGATAAGAAGTAGAGATGGGCTTAAACTCAAAGGGATTTGATAGGCCTTTTAAGTGTGTGCAGTCATTCTGAATAGACTGACTGAGTACTGGTAAACCTGGGTGAGATGCACAGAGTATTATGAAAAAAAGATATATACAGTCAACAGCTCAGAATTTCAATAGCTCAGAATTATGCATCAGATCCATGCATGTGCTAGCGTCCACAGATTCAGGAAGCGGAGGGAAAATGACATCATTCAGGGAGAGAATGGTCACTGATGCTTTCTTGCCTCTGACTCACATGCCAGCTTTCCCCTTCCCCAAACCCGTGCCCTCACCACACCCTGTTCTACTCCTTTGGTTGCAGCAACAGAAGAGGCCTCCAGACTGAGCCTGTGTGGACCATGTGAACCTGTCTTTTTGGAAAGTGTATGGTCTGCCTGAGAAGTTAGGATATTTGATCAGAGCCTTACTTTTCATAGTCCCTTCCTCTTCCTCATCCTCGGCATTGATCACCATGGTGCCCAGCTGTGACAGCAATGTTCCGTCGTGCTCAATCATAGTATTGGCTCCATCACTCATGGTGCTGGCTACTCGGACAGTGCCCATCTCATCACCTGCTGCTCGAACCATGGTGCCAGAATCCAATTCATCCTCCTCCTGTAAAAGAATAGACTCTCAAGTTGGAGCTAATTTGATCAAAAGTGAGTTTTCTGAATTATTATTACTCCTCTTGGTGCAAATATTTCTGGATTTGACACTCAGATTCTAACTGGGATTACTTTTATTTAAACAAAGAACATAAATTTACTCAAGTAAGAGTAATATATCTAAAGGACTCCCTCCTTCTCCCCTTCTTAATAGAGTTTGGCAACATATATCTAAAGATCTATGCACACCCTTGGAATCTCAGGGTTGTGAGAGAGTCTATAAGTTTAGAATCTACATATTTAGTATGAATCCTAGGTTCCCCAAAGGACACAGAAAAACAAAGCCTCAGACCTGAGCATTCTCTTTCCAGAATAAAAATGTGCATTGAATGAAAGATAAAATGTGTAAGTGTCTTAGGAAGCACTATGAGAAGAGCACGCACAGTTGATGAAAGCCTCTAGCAAGGCTTGGTCCAGGACAGGACAGAGTCATGTAAGAAGAGTCTCCAGCTGCAGGCTGATCCAATACCTACACATCTTACCTGGCTTAGCAATCCTATCTAATAAAGAGGGGATGTGCAAATTGACCATCACACCATAACAAGATGGCTGCACCCACAGTAGAGGTGGGATTCCCATAGCACAAGATGGTTGCGTCCACAGTGGAGGCTGAGTTCCTGTAACAAGCCTTAACGAACAATCAGCAGGGACTTGAGGCTGCATGGTGCTGGGCTGGGGCAGGGGACCTGAGGGTGTGCCTCCCACCTGTTGGGGTTTGCCAAAGGACCTGAGGCTGCGCCTTCTGCCCCAGCACCGGGCTGGGGAACCTCAGGCCGTACCCCTCACCTGGCAGGGCTTGGCAAGGGTGGGGCCAGCCAGGTCTGGATCTAGCCCAATGGAGGTGGGGCCAGCCAAGTCTGGGTCTCACACAACTTTGAGGTGCACATGGGTGGGTGGGGACTTGACTCTGGTTCTTGTGGCATGCCCAGACTCTGACGGGAACAGGAGGAAGATTTTCATATACATTCTACTTATTTTTTTCATCTCTGACACTTTTATTATAGAGAAAGGGCAAATAGCAATATAAAATATTTCCTCTAATTCCCTTTTAATGTGCACAGATTTCGTGCCCGGGTCACTAGTCATGAAATAATGAGCATTAATGCCCGAGGCCCAAAGCCAGGCCTGCCACTCACCGAGTTTTCTTCTTCCTCGTGGTCCACCTCCCGCTGCTGAGCTTCCTGGCGTTTCAGTTTCACATCCATGGCTTCGTTAATCAAGTCCCGCAGGATCGACACTCCTTTGGCGCTCTTGACAAACGGGTGCTTAAGCAAGAAAGTGATAAACGCTGGGGACAGTTTATAAGCACCAGTGCCAAAACAGTCCTGGCACACAGCAGGTGCTTGATAGTGTTTGTTGAGTCAGTCGATGAATCTAATCTTTCTCTTTTTGCTTTGGACAATAGCTAACCCCCTTACTTGACTAGTATGACCAAGCAGATGCAGAGTCAGGTTTTGCCCATCTGTTTTGGCCTGGCTAGAACTGCGCTGCCCTTTCTCTCTGCCAGACCTAGAGATTCTCAACCTGCTGGAGGAAATTTTGTAATGTTGGGAACTTCTAGTTACAATGTTTGAAGAACACAAACAGCATGGGAGGGCAGGGACAGCACAATCCTGCAAAGTGGAACCTCTGGCACAACAAACTGTAGCACATTCTGTGCATCTTTCAATGTCTCAGAATACACGTACACTCTGATAAATAATACTGAAAACTTTTTCCAGAGATAAGCAAAAGGTCTAGTAATTTGGGAGGTAAGTTTGGAGTAGGGGTTTAAATGGAATAAAGACATTATTTAGAAATTACTGAATAATTTACTCATCTTGCTTATTCCTTCTGTTCAGTGTACTACAGCATTTCCAACTATGATTTAGGTAAAAACAAATTTAATGTAAAAGTGTAGTTATTGCAGAAATACTAAAATTAGTCACAAAGACACTTGAAACACAGGAATATTGCTGAAATACATTTATAAAAATTAATTTTTAAAATATTAATACCTACAACAAAAGTGTCCTTCGATAGAGGATTGGATTAAGAATATGTAATACATATCTACTATGGAAAACTCAGCCATAAGAAAAGACAACTGCCATTTGCAACAACTTGGATAGACCTTAAGAGTATTATGCTAAGTGAAATAAGTCAGTCAGAAAAAGTTAAAAACCATATGATTTCATTCATTTGTAGGATATAAAACTGGAACTCACGGACACAGACAATAGTGTGATGGTTACCGGAGGGAAGGGAATGGAGATTGGGTGAACGAGGTCTAACATATGATGACAGAAGATAAGTTTAACCTTGGATAGTGGACACACAGTATACAGATCTCATATCATAGAAATGTATACTTGAAACCTACATAATCCTATTAATCAATGCCACCCCAATACATTGATTAAAAAAAAAAAAATAAAACAAATATTAATATCATCTTACATATTTGTTGTTTATAACACAATTGTAAGAAATCTCTGTGAAAGGTGAGTGGATGGGTGGGAAGAAATCAACCAAAGAATTTATATGCATATATGCATAACCCATGGCCCACGGACAGACAATAAGGTGGTGAAGGGGTCAATGGTGGTCAAATGGGGACATGTAATACGTTCAATAATAAAGATTTTAAAAAAAGAAATCTATGTGAAATCTCTTTGATTTTGGGGGGGGAGAAGGGGTGTTATATATTGTTTTTCCAAACTTACTCTGATATTGTCCCCAGTGCTCTTTTTAATCCCTTCTCTATTCCCCAGGACTCATGAAAGGACAAGGTCTCCAAGTTCTCTATAGATTGGAAGTATGCCTCAGCATGTGGTGGGCTCATAACACAGGATATCTTTTCCATAAAACTTTATCAGAACCCCAGCCAGGCAGGAAAAGAACTTGCCACTATACTTAGAAACAAGACCCAGCTCATTTGCAAGAATATCATATTTACTGTTCTTTCCAATTGGAAAGCTTATTAGATAATTTCCTTCCTCATATCATTTACAAATAAGTCTGGTCTGCTATTACTTACCATTGTTTTATGCAAGTGCCCACCCATTAATATTCCTAAATATCGTGATGGAATGGTTTCTGTTCTTGTTACTGCTCTTACATCTAAATTCTTTCATGATGATAGGTACAGGTCTTTAACTATTTCATTATGCCTTTAAGTTGAGTAAGGCTGGAACATTTCTATATTGATAAATATGTTATTTTATTATAAATTGTTATCTTTATATGTCTACATTATATCATAGACATTATACTGATTCTTTTAAAATTATGGTCATAAACAAGTTTATTATCTATGAATTTCATTCCAGAAGAGTAATAAATGCTAAAAAAATACATATATATATATATGTATATATAGCCCCCCAAAATGTATACATTTTGAATAATTATAAAGGCAGTGTTTATTAAAAACCATTTCATTTTCAAATTAAGCTATTAGCTGTTAAAGTGTGTATACATTTTGTTTGGAACACCTTGTGTATAGGAGGACTGGATATGGTTGAAAACTATTGGCCTAGCATAATAATAACAGCAAATATTTGTCAAATCCATATTGTACTATCTATAATATGTATAAAGCATTCTTCAAAGTTATACATATTATATCACTTAGTCTTCAGGTGCTCACTAAATGTCAATTCCCATTCTCTAATCCCATAGAGCCCTATATTTCCATGCCATATTTTCTTGTTCAATTACTTAACATTCTTTCCTATGTCTTTTTGACTCAGTTAAGACCAAACCTCCTGAGAAGCAGGAAATGTCTTATACTTCTTTCCCATCTCCACACAGGTATAGGTGGGTTAAAAGCATCTTTTGGTTAGCATGTGAATGAAATTCAGAGGGAGCACTTCAGGGTGATTCATACCTGTAGGAGTTGAGTGGCTGTGGCTCTATGCTCAGGGCTCTTTACAAGACACTGCTTCACAAAATCCATGAAGCTATCTGACCATAGTTCTGGCTTTCGGAATGTGGGAGGAGGGTTGGTAGGAATCATAAAGATTGCCTGGTTAAAAAAAAAAAAAAAAAAAAAAAGACAAAATAAAAGTGATGCTTCAATAAAAATGTAACTGGAAATACATTTGAGGTTTGATAAAATGATTTTTCTCTTATCCACTAAAGAGCCCACCCAAATTCCAACAAAAGTCTAATTATTCAAGGTAAGAAGTATGACAATTAAAGAACATGATATAAATCACTCTCTCCTTCCCCTTTCCTGCCCTCACCTTCTCCTTCTTTCATATGCATCCTTGTCCTCCAAACCTCACAATATCCACCAGACTTTTTAAAAATACATACTTTAAAATTGATTTTTAGAGAGAGCAAGGGAAAGGCAGAGAGAGAGAAACACTGAAGTACCGGGGATAGAGCCTGCAACACAGACATGTGCCCTGACCAGCAAATGACTCCACCGAGCTTTTTATAATTTTTGTTAACCACAGTACATTGCCTTTCAAAGTAAAAAGGCAAGACCTAAGAGCATCAATATCCTAAAGGTAAAAACTCAGCCGCAGAGCTGTCAGATTTCTGTCCTTCCTAAAGGTCACCACCACCACTGGCTATAACTAGTTATTGCAAGACCATAAACTCAGAAGTCCCCAAATCATAAGGGATTCATCCCCTTTCAAACCAAGCCAATTCAACATACTACTTAAAAAAAAAAAAAAAAAAAAATTGGCCCACTACACTGTAGTTAATTGAGTTTCCACTAAAAGAGCCACAATTTTAAAAAATAAATAAAACTCTCTGCGATAACCAGCTGAAATTATAGTCTTTAAATCTAAAAATATAACCAGTAAATAGTCCTACCCTTCCCTACTTCTCCACCTCCCAAAAAAGAGGGGAGCTTATCTTGGAGCCCAGGAATATATATATTTGTTAATGTTGTCTTTCAATAGAAGAACTAATTGATCAGGACTGAGTGAGTGAGATGAGCAACACACGCCTGGAGCCCTCCCACAGTCCCTCCCCGGCCTGATCATGCACCAGTGGGGTCCCTCAGCCTGTCCTGCACCCTCTCGCAATCCAGGACCCCTAGGGGGATGTTGGAGAGCTGGTTTCAGCCCAATTCCGCAGGCCACTCCCCTTGGGAGGGCACCAGATGCAGGGCTCATGGCTGGTAAGCACTGCTGCTACTGAGGCAGTGAGAGTCTCTTCCGATTGGACTGATTGGGCACGAGCTCACATTAGACACATTAGGGCCAGGATGAGCAGGAGCGGCAGATAGGAGCTGCAGGCGGCATTGGACTGCGGGTTTTGGCCCGATCCCTGCAGGCCACCCATAGGGACCCCACCATGCACGAATTCATGCACCGGGCCTCTAGAAAATACTATAAAGCCCACGGAAGGGTTGAGGTCTTATAACAGTGCTGTGGTGAGGGGTCCGGTGGGTGGTGGTGGTAAATCCTGGAAGCCCCTAAGGGTATTTTGGTGGAGAGTAAATCTATGGGCCCTTAACATTCTAGAAATGGAGGGTGGCAAGTACAGAGCCTCCAGATTAAGAGAGTGTGGTGATCTACAAACCAAAACTTACAAATTTAAATACCTGCAAGGGCCAGGCAGGAAAAAGACAACACACGAACCAGGCTGGGTGTTAGTCACATGAGTTCAAAAAAATAGTTTGCTTTCCTCTTACTACTACTACTACTATAAGACAAATCGTACTGTAAGACAAACGTTAGAGAAAACACTGCAGTATGTGACATTGATACTTGGTAGACAGAGAATTGTGGAGACTGATGAAGTGGAAGCCCATGCCTGTGTAAAAAAGAAGACCACTACTCAGCGCCAGTTAATGTTACATTAAAATGTGAGCAGCTAAATTAAAAAATACACATTGCACAAGTCGCACCAAGCATTTCTGTGGCCCATGTCTTACCTCGGGCTATCAATGCACGGCCTTTGGAATGAAGAGAAGTAAATTATATTTTAATTAATTACAGACTACAGCTAGTGGAAGTGTATCATCTGAAGTCCAGACTAACATTTAATAACATATAATTAACCCATTTATTATTTGGTACCTAACCAAGTAAGTCACCTAACTAACTTTCTAATGATGACTAGTAACTAACCACCCCACGGGTTTCCCATCCATTTCCTTACTCTCATTGGGTGAATATCGGCATATGGGGGCTTCCCTTCAGCCATTTCTATGGCAGTTATTCCCAATGACCAGATGTCTGCCACGCAGTTGTACCCAATTTCCTGAATCACTTCTGGAGCCATCCAAAATGGTGTTCCTATGACTGTATTTCGCTTGGCCATAGTATCCTAAAATAGAAAGGAGAGAGACCAACACTAAGCATCAAAACTATGAAGAAAAAGAGATTTTTTCAATAATAAAAAATATCTTACACCTGAAATACATATAAAAACCATACTCAAGGCATGACCAAGCAAGTCACAAAGAAATTCAAATAACCTAGAGACATAATAGATTCTCAGTCAGATACTAAAACACAAAAAAATTGATACAACTTTTAGCAGGCAATTTGGCAGTAATTATTAAACTTAAATGTCCATATCCTTTTACCCAAATCTATTTCTGGAGATGTATCTCGGCACCCCAAAATATATAGGGCAAGTAGGTTTACAGTTGTGAGTATATGAAATGCAGTTTATTATTGTATTGTTATTTACTAATTATTGTATAATTTTCCATATGAACAACTATAAATCTACTTTTGCCCCACCCTATATGCACAAGTATTGTGGAAATATTTGTAATATGGGGAGGGGGAAGAAAAATGAAATAAACCAAATGACTATCTAAAGGGGGTAAGTTAAAAACAATAAATATCCATACAATGAAATACTACATTTAAAAAAAAAAAAAGATAAAAACATTTTTCTGGCATGGAAAAAATGTACAAGGTATATTGTGAAGCAAAACAAAAAAAAATTAGATTACAAAATTAGCTATAATATAGCCTTTTTGTAAAAGAAAAATAATGGAACAACAACCAATAACAATAAGTATTGTTGTTCTATGGATAGCAAAACAAACAAACAAAAATCTCAAGTAACATGCACCAAACTATTAACAATTGTATCTAGAAGTTAGAAACACTAAAGACTTCTTTCCGTCCCTATATTTCTATAACACTCTATGGTTTACATGTGCAATAAGGATGTATTACATGTGCAATAAGGAAATTAAATAAAGAAAATTACATACACATCTGTATACTTTTAAATATACATTTTATATAATTTATACATATTTTATATAATATATACTCATATATAAAGGCTTAGTTTGAGGATTAAAGAAGAATTATAGAGACTAGAGAGCCAGTGCATGAAATTTGTACACAGGGGGTCCCCTCAGCCCAGCCTGCACCCTCTCACAATCCTGGACTACTGGCTCCTAATCGTTCATCTGCCTGCCTGCCTGATTGCCCCTAACTGCCTCCCCTGATGGTCTGGTTACCCCTAATTGCCCCCTGCTGCCAACCAGGTCATTCCCAACTGCCCTCTCCCTGCCAGCCTGGTTGCTCCTAAATGCCCCCCCACTGGCCTGGTCACCCCTTACTGTCCCCCCCACTCCAGCCTGGTCTTCCCCAATTGCCCACCTCTACCAGCCTGGTTGCCCCTAACTGCCCTCCCTGCCAGCCTAATTACCCCCAACTTTCCCCCACCCCATGCCAGCCTGGTTGCCCCTAACTGTCCCCCCACCGGCCTAGTTACTCCCAACTGCCCCTCCTACCGGCCTGGTTACCCCCAAATTCACCCCAACTGCCAGCCTGGTTGCCCCAACTGACCCCCCTGCTGGTCTGGTTGCCCCATGCAGACTGCTGTTCAGTCACTTGGTCATCCCTCATTAATCAATCTCCTGCTGGCCTGGTCGTAGGCAGCATGATAAAGTCCTGATGGTTTGCATATTACCTCTTTATTATATAGGAAGGGTAGTACAAATGGGCAAATAACCACTTGCATATTTCCCCAGAGAGGCACGGTCCTAATGAAAGAAAACTTTCCTAGAATTCCTATATTTTAGAAAGAGAAGGATTTTAAACAACTAAATATGTAACAGTACTTCCCAACATCATCATCCTATTCCTTCTGGAATGCCTGTAGCTTACATTAGGTTATGCTAGTGGGAGCAAATGATAGATAAAAATTTTTCATCGATCTCACTTTGTCAGTCCTATGCAAAAAATTAATACAGGAACTATTTTACTGCTTAGTCATTTCCTTTGCTCTGAAACTTGAAATTTGCAGGGGTATTTTCAAATGGTGGTAGTCAAAGTTGTTTTCAAGGATTATAACTAGAAATGAGTATTTGGATAACTGTAAATTTTTTGAAAATTAAGAGTGATGAGTAGATACTAAACGAACTAGATCAATAGAAAATATTGACTCCAGAAACAAGCTAACATGTTCCAGGTAGATTTAAGTTAAAAAATAAATTAATTAAAACTGTACATAATACTATTTTAGCTCTAAAAAAAATCAAACAAGATATATCTATATAGTCTACCACCCAAGAAAACTGTTTAATATATAATTTGTTGCAAATTTTAGTATACACCTGTCCAAAACTATTTTTATTTTTCTACATATACTTCACATATACTCATGTATTTTACAAAATCAGGTCACTCTAGACTTCCTGTTTGGAAAAATGGGTTTTTTCATTGCCATGAACTGGTGGGACAGAAGGAGAATCAAGAGATTGTATCCTGGAATCAAACAATGACAGTGTTTTCAGTAACTGCCAACTGCTACCTGAAGGTTCAATGAGAAGACATTATGACTTATTCAAGGAAAGCAGTTTGAATTAAGGTTTCTTCCTTTTATAAATATAATGATGCAGCCAAATAGAATTTAAACTTCTACTCTGTCATTTCTTGTCTTAGATTTAATTTAATTCTATTATTTTTTGGTTTCTTGTTAATCCTCACTTGAGGATGTTTTTCCATTTATTTTTAGAGAGAGTGGAAGGGAGGGAGGGAGACAGAGAGAGAGAAATGTTGACATGAGAGAAACACATCAATTGGTTGCCTCCCACACATACCCCAAGCAGGGCCAGGGATGAGCCTGCAACTGAGGTATGTGCCCTTGGCAGGAATCAAACCTGGGACCCTTCAGTTGGCTGGCTAACGCTCTATCCACTGAGCCAAACCAGCTAGGGCTAGATTTTATCAGAGTAAAGCAAACTTTTTTAACTATGGAACCTGAATCCCAGGAAAGGATCTAAAATAATCTACTAGCCGAAACCAGTTTGGTTCAGTAAATAGAGCATTGGCCTGTGGACTGAAGGGTCCCGGGTTCAATTCCGGTCAAGGGCATGTACCTTGGTTGCAGGCACATCCCCGGTGGGGGTGTGCAGGAGACAGCTGATCGATGTTTTGCTCTCATTGATGTTTCTAGCTCTCTATCCATCTCCCTTCCTCTCTGTAAAAAGTCAATAAAATATGTTTTAAAAAATAAAAATAATAAAATAAAATAATCTACTAACTCTTAGGTAATCTATTAGTACATTCTATGACTTTTTTACTAATACAATTAAATAAAGTATATTTTAAAAACAAATAAGTAATTCCTTCTCAGAACAGAGCTGAAAGTTACCAATATAAGTAAAATATTTTTTTTTTGTGTTAATTCTCACCCGAGGATATTTTTTCCATTGATTTTTAAAGAGAGTGGGGGAGGAAGGAAGGGAGGGAGGGAGGAAGAGAGAGAGAATTATTAATGTGAGAAAGATACATCGATTGGTTGCCTCCATAGACCTGGGCTGGGTGTTGAATCTGCGACCTAGGTACATGCCCTTGACCAGGAATTGAACCTGCAACCCTTTGGTGCGAAGGCCAACACTCTAACCACTGAACAACACTGGCCAGACAACAAGTAACAGTTTTACTTACTGTAAGTTGACCTGCTACCCCAAAATCTGCAAGTTTTGCATGTCCTTCTGTATTTAGCAAAATATTTCCTGCCTTGATATCTCGGTGTATTTTTCTCATGAAATGAAGGTATTCCAATCCCTTAAGCGTTGATTGTAATATTGTAGCTATTTCATCTTCTGTTAACTAAATAAGAATGAGAAATCAAAATCCTTTAGTTTACATCAGGGCATTTGAAAAAGGAAAAAAAAAAAAAAAAGATACAAACTTCAATATTTAATTTCCAGAATATAAATATAAGATCGTATTCAGCCTGTAAACAGCATTGGACAGCAATACCATTGCTACACTATCAACTCCCGAAGTTATATATTTCCAGCCCAGATCTCTTGCCAAATACAAGATTCATATATCTGCCTCCAATGAATACCTAACAAGTATCATAAGCATAATATATCAAACTCAAATTTTTTATTTCTGCCACTGCCCTACCCTTCTCCTTACCATCCACCCAACCTATTCTACTCTTCCCAGTCTCCTCTCTCTCAGTAAAAGGCAATTCCATTCTTTCAGTTGTTCCGCCCCAAAACCTTGAGGCCATTCTTGGCTTTTCTCTGTCTTCAAAACATATTCAAACGTATCCTCTGTAATCATCCTGGTCCAAGCCATAATGAAGTCCTGCCTGAACTTTCCTAATTGCTTCTGCCCTTGACCCTCTGCAATGTATTTTCCACACAGAAGCCAGAAAGTTTGATAAAAGGCAGAAAAATAGGAGATGGCATAAGAGACTAGCTCAGTGGCATTATTCTAGAAGAAAACTTACTGTTTTATTTCGTAATCGAATGATATCAGACACAGAACCAGCCCCACAGTACTCCATAACGATCCACAAGTCTGTGTTCTTAAAATAACTGCCATAATATTTGACTACATGAGGACTAGAGAGAGAGAGAGACAATATAAGTTAGTGGGAAAGCCTTCAACATCTCTATTCATTCATGCTGTTAAACACCTGAAAATTTCTCTGCTCAAAAAAGCAAGTATACATATTTATGGTTAAAATGGGCACCCTCCTGATAAGAACGTAAACTAGTATAACTTTTCTGGAGGGCAATAGGTAATGAAAATGGAAAAAAAAATGTATGGGTACTTTAACCCACAGCATTTTTAAGTCTACAATTCATTCTAAAAAAATAAAAAATAAAAATATTAAAAAAGAAATGATAGCCATCGTAGTATTGTTTATAAAACTGATAATTTAGATACCATCTAAATTAGGGAGTTTAGTTACAGAATACTTGATAATATGCGATTTCCTGTTCTCTCTCACACTCACTCTCTCTCTCTCTCTCTCTCACACACACACACACACACACACACACACACACACACACACAGTGGCAATTACGTTAGTAAGTATAGTGAAACTCCAAAAAGAGATGTGGAAGGATATGTATACCAAGCAGTATTTAACAATGATTACTTCTCCAAGTGGAAAAGTGATTTTATCTTCTCCTTTTTATTTGAAAATTTCCTAGATGTCACATGTAGTTTGTGGGGGGAAAAAAACAAAAACCAACTACAATCTATTATAAAGAAAAAATTTGGAGTTTCAAGCCTGAAGAGAGATTCCAAACAAGGAAGTTCAGAGAAAAATCAAACATTCCATTATAACGAAATAATTTGCCATCTGAGAGCTACTCACTTTAACTGGCTAGATTATTATTAGGGTTAAGTAATATTGCATAATAACTGAAGATGTTAAAACCAACTGGGCTTCATTAACTCTCGAGATTTCAAGCCCCTTCATCCTTGAGAAATATGCCAATGACAAGGACAGCAAGAAACCCCCACATAAGTGAATATTAATGAAGAAATGAATGAACAAGTCTTTTAAGGTATATAACCACACTTGCTCACACCTCCCAAAATTCCTATGGTATTAACAACCCCACGAGGCAATTACTGTCACGTACTTCCTGTTGGAATATGTTCTATACATCTTATATTTTCAGCTGGATTTTCCTGTACATGTATATGCCTGCCCTGTCCAATCAGTCTACTCCCAGAGGATGAGAACTCAGCCCTGCATTTCTTTGTATTCCTTACAGTACTTAGCACAGAGTAGGCTCTTCAAAATACCTCTTCGCTGATTATAGACACATTTGTACACCCTGTTTGTAACATGGCTCGTGGAGTCACTCAAAAGTGGCAAAGTCTCAAGTTGTCAACTGGAAAGAATTCCATAATATATCTTATGGAGGAGGAAAAGCAACCCTGCTACTTTATTCTGGTCAAGACAATCAAGAAATACGAGTTTTTTATCTCATGTAGAGTATCCACCAGTATACAGAGAATAAAAGAAAGAGAGGGAGGGAGAAGAGATATGACTCCATTCACAAGTCTGTGAGACTTAAGAACTCCAGGGCAAATTTCCTAGCAGGCAGCTCCCCCTGTCCTAATGTTGAAACTTTACCAAAAGAAGAAAAAAAGGGGGGGAGGGGCAGTACCAAGTTGACCTGCTGACCAAAAGAGCTTTGGAAGAATGAATGCAACTTCAAGTGCAAGACTTTCTCATTCCCTTTTCAATTCCCTAGAGCTGGCATTGCCCCTAAGTGTGCTTTTCTCTCAAATCTAAACAGTACCGGAGAAGCCTGCCCCATCACTGTGACCACCCATGTTGTCACGGTATTTCAGAGCAAACCACGTGCTTTTCTGCGGTTGCCTGTTGGCCTGACTTCCTGCTACAGCATTTGACAAATCTTAGTTCCTCAAAAATAACATACTTAGCTACTCTTAGCTTGAATAATTTCTTAAAGATATAAAGCAAGGACCAATAAGATAGAAATAATTTTTTTCTTTTAACCTATCTATAATATCTGTATGTCCTAAGGTTTATAAAGCTAAAAAGCATTGAATTATCTCTTTTTAACACTCTCTGGAGAAGTGTTTTCTCAATAGGAAGTAAGAGATCATTAAAAAAAAAAAAAAAAAAGCTAGCACCACCTTCTCTTTGCCTCTTCCTAGTTTTGAAAAGGGCTTACTGAAAAAACAAAACAGAAAACTATGCAGATATAGAAAGTATAAAAGCTTAGCTACAAAAACACAAACTTTTCTATTATATTTCTGGAAAAAACAAACAAACACATGCATAGTGATTCCATTAAGTGCTCCCTTCTGTAACATCTAAGTATATGCAACTCTAGGCATCCAACTATTTAAATAATCACAGCAAATTCAAAACCATGTTCTCTCCAGAGTTAATTCCACATGCCTTTACCTGTCACATTGCTGCATTATAGAGATTTCTTTGATTATCTCCTGCAGGTCTGATTCCACAGGAACTTGCTTAATAGCCACAATCTGGCCTGTCTCTTTATGAATAGCTTTGTATACGCTGCCATAGGACCTATAATTGGAGAAAGGAGAACATTTATTAAAGTCACAAGCCAAGAGATAAATGTGGTGAAACATAAGCAACTTTCAGTTCTAATTTATATGCCTAGGTACCTAATATATGTATACTTAGCTCTACTTGCAAAATTGACGTAGCTAAAGTATGGAGAAGGGGAGGGAGGAGGCGGGGATTGCCATTAAGAAAACTACCATAAAATGGCATCTTAAAAACTTGACATTTAAATTGTACTAAATGTGTTAGTATGAATAATTATTATATTATCTACCATTTCATGTCTGATGTCTGTCAAAAACTGTGTATCATCTCAGTTCATCCATCCATACACACACACACACACACAAACACACACACACACACACACAAATGAAAAAGGGGCCATTATCCTATTACACAGGTAAATGTGAAAAGGCTCAGAGGGACTATATGACTTGGCCAAGGTCACACATAAGTGATAAATAAATGATCGTCCAGAATTTGAATCCAGTTGTGACTGAATACAAAGCCTTAGCTCACTCCACATCTACACTGGGCCACCATCCGGAGATCTTTGTTTCCTTGTGCTCACTTGTACTGAGCTTTTCATTCCTTGCTCCTCTTACTTGCAATAAAATTTAAAACATTATGGAAATGAATTAAAGGTCTAAATCTCTTTAAATGCTAGTATCAGGTGAACAGAGCATATAAATATTCTTTTTGCCTTTTACTCCATCTTCTCTTAAGAGCTTATAATGAAAATAAATAAAAATCATATAGCTATATTCCCTCAATTTGGAGGTTAAAAGAGTATTAGATTTAGAATCTAGAGATCTAGTCCTATGACCACCACATTTACAAACATAGTTTTAATTTTTAACCATGTTATGCCTCAATTTTCTCATCTGTAAAATGACAACACAAACCACTTTACAAGATAATTGTTAATCAGCTTAACAATAACCCACAACCTACGGACCAACTACTTTACAAGGTAATTGTAATGGTCAAATGACATATCATCATCACCTTAAATAGATTATAGCTTCACTGAAATTCTGATGGGTGCCAGTGAAATAATGAGTAAACTGTCTTTCCCGTTTCCCAAATACACATACTTCTTCATAACGTCTTGGTGAGAAAAGATCAAAATAGCAATGCAACCTATATCAAAACAGCTGAGTGCTCTAAGCTGCCAAAATGGTACTCAATATTCATTTCAATGTGTTTGTTTTTAAAAAATCTATGCAGAGCACATAAAAAAATTTCTACTCCATCATAACCCTTTACATTGGCAAAACTACTATAGTGATCCTTAAACATTACATAAGCTTTTTTTCCCCCCTCAAGAGTAAAGTAACCACCGACCATGTGAAGAAGACCCTTCTTCCTTGCTAAGGTAATCCTCTGATTTGAACACCTTTTCCCAGGGGATGAAGCCAGTCGGAGTAATCCTGTTCCCTTCAGCCAGTGACCTAGTTCTGACCAATGAAATTTGAGGGGAATTCTGCTGAAGGGTTTCTGGGTAAGACTTTCTTCCCAGGTAAGAGAGAAGCACACAAGGCCCATTTTTACTTGCTACTTCCTTTCCTGCTTTGGTTACTGTCATGTGAGACATGATGCTTGAAACTAATGTGGTCATCTTGAGATGATAATTACACAAATGCTATGCCATTATTCAAGCCAATTAACCGTTCTGGAATCTTTCACTCCCAGACTTATTATTTTTAGTTATTAAATGCCCTTATTGGTTAGCCACTGTTAGTGGGGTATTCCATCACTTTCAGCTAAAGTTATTCTTGATACTCTAATTCCCATCTGAAAATGCCTTTATTTCACCTTCATTCAGGAATGACTTTTGCTGGACACAGAATTCTTCTTTGACAATAGCTTTCACTCATAATTTTTACTGCAATTATCCAATTTCTATTGTTGTTCAGAAGTCAGCTGTCATCAGATTATCAATTTTTCACAGGTACCTTTTAAGATTTCCTCTTCAAGGTGAAATAACAACAGACCCCACCAAAATACAACGGATTGTTACAAAATACTAAGAACAACTCTATTCCAACAGACTGAACAACCTGAAGGAAATGGACACATTCCTAGAAAAATACAAACTTCCAAAACTCAATCAGGAAGAATCTAAAAATCTCAATAGAGTAGTAACTTGGGAAGAAATTGAAACAGTCATCAAAAAGCTTCCAGCAAACAAAAGCCCAGAGCCAGATGGCTTCACAGGAGAGTTTTACCAAACATTCAAGGAAGAACTAAAACCTATCCTCCTCAGACTATTCCAAAAAATCCAAGAGGAAGGAACACTTCCAAACTCCTTCTATGAAGCCAGCATCACCCTAACACCAAAACCAGATAAAGACAACTCAATGAAAGAGAATTACAGGCCAATATCCCTCATGAACATAGATGCCAAAATCCTCAACAAAATTCTAGCAAATCGGCTCCAGAAGAGCATCACAAAGATCATACACCATGACCAAGTAGGATTTATTCCAGGAATGCAAGGATGGTACAATATCCGCAAATCATATAAAACGTATAGTAAATCATATAATCATATCAATTGATGCAGAAAAAGCATTTGATAAAATCCAACACCCTTTCCTGATAAAAACTCTCAACAAGGTGGGAGTACAAGAATCATACTTCAACATAATAAAAGCTATATATGATAAACCCACAGCCAACGTTATACTCAATGGGCAAAAACTAAAACCATTCCCTCTAAGAACAGGAACAAGACAAGGATGCCCACTCTCACCACTCCTGTTTGACATAGTACTGGAAGTACTAACCATTGCAATTAGACAAGAGGAGGAAATAAAAGGCATCCAAACTGGAAAAGAAGAAGTAAAGTTATCCTTATTTGCAGATGACATGATATTGTACATAAAAACCCAAAAGACTCCATTAAAAAACTGATTGACTTAATAAATGAATTTGGCAATGTAGCAGGATACAAAATTAACACCAAGAAATCCATGGCATTTCTATACACCAACAGTGAAATTACAGAAACAGAGACTAAAAAAGCAATTCCATTTACCATCGCACCAAAAAAATTAAGATACCTAGGAATAAATTTAACTAAGGAAGTAAAGGACCTATATGTGGAAAACTACACGACACTGAAAAAAGAGATAGAGGAAGATGTAAACAGATGGAAGAACATACCATGTCCATGGATTGGTAGAATCAACATCATCAAAATGTCCATACTTCCTAAAGCAATCTATAGGTTCAATGCACTCCCCATTAAAATACCAACAGCATATTTCACTGACCTAGAAAGAACTCTCCAAAAGTTCGTTTGGAACAATAAAAGACCCCGAATAGCCACAGTAATCCTGAGAAAGAAGAATAAAGTAGGAGGGATCTCAATACCAGACTTCAAACTGTATTACAAAGCCACTGTTCTCAAAACAGCCTGGTACTGGCACAAGAACAGACATATAGATCAATGGAATCGAATCGAGAACCCAGATATCAACCCAAATCACTATGCTCAGTTAATATTTGACAAAGGAGGCACGAATATACAATGGAGTCAAGACAGTCTCTTTAATAAGTGGTGTTGGGAAAATTGGACAGATACATGCAAAAGAATGAAACTAGATCACCAACTTACACCATACACAAAAATAAACTCAAAATGGATACAGGACTTAAACATCAGACAGGAAACCATAAAAATACTAGAAGCATTCACGGGCAGCAAAATCTCAGACATATGCCAAAAAAACTTCTTCACTGATACTGCCCCTAGGGCAATGGAAGCTAAAGAGAAAATAAACAAATGGGACTACATCAAAATAAAAAGCTTTTTTACAGCAAAAGAAACCATCAACAAAACAACAAGAAAGCCCACTGTTTGGGAGAACATATTTGCAAATATTACCACTGAGAAAGGTTTAATCTCCAACATCTACAGACAGCTGATACAACTAAATAAAAGGAAGATGAATGATCCAATTAAGAAATGGGCAATGGATCTAAATAGAATATTTTCAAAAGAAGACAGAAGGAAGGCCAAAAGGCACCTGAAAACATGCTCAAAATCACTAATTATCCAAGAGATGCAAATCAAAACAACAATGCAGTACCATCTCACACCTGTCAGAATGGCCAACATCAACTAATCAACAAACGACAAGTGTTGGCGAGGTTGTGGAGAAAAAGGAACCCTCGTGCACAGCTTGTGGGAATGCAGACTGGTGCAACCACTGTGGAGAACAGTGTGGAGTTTCCTCAAAAAACTGAAAATGGAACTCCCATTTGACCCAGTAATCCCACTCCTAGGAATATATCCCAAGAAACTAGACACACCAATCAGAAAGGATATATGCACCCCTATGTTCATAGCAGCACAATCTACAATAGCCAGAATCTGGAAACAGCCTAGGTGCCCGTCAACAGATGATTGGATCAAAAAACCATGGTACATCTACACAATGGAATACTATGCTGCCATTAAAAAGAAGGAATTCTCATCATTTGCAGCAACTTGGATGGAATTGGAGAACATCATGCTGAGTGAAATAAGCCAATCAATGAAAGAGAAACACCACATGACCTCACTCATTTATGGATAATAAAGAACATTATAAACTGATGAACCAAAAGATAAATATAGAGACAGTAAAGCAACAAGCAGACTGTCAAATTACAGCGGGTAGGGGAGGGAGATCTGGGGGAGATAAGAGATCAACCGAAGGACTTGTATACATGCATATAAGTACAACCAATGGACATAAAACTCTGGGGAGGGAGGATATGTATGGGAAAGAGGAGGGCAAAAAAAAAAAAATCAATAAAATATATTTTAAAAAATTTCCTCTTCATCCTTAACATTCTAAAATTTAACTAGCAGTTGATTTATTTGGTATTTAATAAACTTCTTCAATCTGAAAGCACATGTCTTTCTTCAAGTCTGGAGAATTTTCAGCATTATCTCTTTATTTTCTCTTTATCTCTTCTAATATATCCTTCTAGAATTCCTCTTGGACCTGTATTACTTTCTCAATCCATGCTGTCTTCTTGGTTTCTAACACTATTTCTCTGCCCTGCATTTTGTAATTGATCCCATTTCTCTCTTCCAATTCAAAAATTCTCTCTTCAGCTTCTCTAGTTTACTGTTTATCCAATTTATTAGGCCTTTAGAATTTCAATAATTGTAGTTTTCATTGTCAAGATTCCCAACTTTTTATTATTCAATGGGTCTGGCTGGCTGTTTATGTTAATAATCTGGTATTCTTTTAAGGATGTCATTCCCTCCTTTTATCTTTTTGAAAATCATAAACAAACATTTTAAATCTCTTTCCAGACTGCTCCATTATTTCTTCCTTAGGTGTGAATCCTCCCATTTGTTAGATCTGCTGATTCTATCATGGCAGTGGATTTGTTTCTATGAGTTTCCTTTTATATTGATTTTTCTCTATATAATACTCACTGTCATGAGCACTCCATGTCGGTTTCATAGTTCCCTCAGCCAGTCATCCAGGCTGTACAATTTAAACCAGATCTCATATTAAAAGTTTGGGGGTTTGGCCCCTCCAGAGACTATACCTAAATGCAGTCCAAGCCCAGTTCCTATTGTCAGACCAGCATCTCCCCTTTTTCTCCAGGCACAAGTGACAGACAAATTTATTTCAGATTTAGTTCATAGATGATGAGCCTCGGCCCAACCCACAACTTCACGTAGAAAGCCCACCTGCAATCTCTAACAAGGACAGACATGCTTTACCCCTTTCTTACTATTACAGATATCTTTTCTATCTTGGATCCATAGCTGTCTATGTATCCTAATATTTAAAAAATTAATTTTCACTCATTATTCTTATACTAGCGGCTGGTGCACGAAATTCATGCATGGAGGTGGAGGGGGGGGTCCCTCAGCCCAGCCTGCATCCTCTACAATCTGGGACGCCTTGAGGGATGTCCAACCGGGATTGGGCCTAAACAGTCAGACATCCCTCTCACAATCCAGGACTGCTGGCTCCCAACTGCTCACCTGCCTGTCTACCTGATTGCCCCTAACCACTTCTGCCTGCCAGCCTGATCACCCCTAACCACTCCCCTGCCAGCCTGATTGATGCCTAACTGCTCCCCTACCGGCCCAATTGCCCCTAACTGCCCTCTCCTGCCGGCCTGGTCGCCCCTAACTGTCCTCCCCTGCAGGCCTGGTTACCCCTAACTGCCCTCCCTTGCAGGCCTGGTCCCTCCCAATTGCCCTCCCCTGCTGGCCAATTTGTGTTGGAGTGATGGTCAATTTGCATATTATCTCTTTATTATATAGGTTATTTAAAATGGAAAGGAGAGCTCCATATACTCCCTCAGCAATGTTGACCAGAATACTCCCCATGCCTCACTATGCTATCTTGGTAGCAAACAAAACTCTGATAGCTCACATGAGCAATTAAGATACATAATTCTACATACTGCACTTACAGTAATCTAAAGAGGCTTTAGAAAGCTTATCAGTGAGCAATCATGCTCACTTACAGACATGGCCTTAAGACCCGAGTCCCTACAACAGAACCTAAGTGAACTTTAACTGGCAATGATGGTGGGAAGCACGTGTTTCCCATAAGCCATGCAAGGCAAGGATCAATGTAGAAAAACAGAAATATTTGAGGGCAAATTAACCAGGTACAAGTCTTAACATTACCACTCACTAGCTGTGAAACCACGGGCAAGATGTTTTTTGAGTCACTATATACTCATTAAGTAAAATAGGAGGGGAAAAACAGTAGGCTCTAATTGAAAGCACTTTCCAAGTGCTGTCCAGGCATCCTGGTCTGGAGCTTTGGCTCTACTGTCCACAGATCCACACCATTTCCTTAAAATGCAGACTGACTGCCGGCTCCAGAATCCAACGTCGTCCATTAGCCAAAGCTCGTTTCACAAAGCACTTGTCAGTGCAAGTTTGCAATCCATTCGTTTTCCAGAACAGTTTAAGGATGGCATGACAGTTGGGCAGTAAGTGCAGTTAAGGTCTTCCTTCAGGACTTTGCTGGTTAAATGAGGCTTGACAAAGTTCTTTCAGCATGATGACAGAAATTCAAGCATTTGTGGGAAGAATAACATGGGAAGAAAGACTTGAAGCATTATTAGTTTTTTCCTTGGTAATATTTTGATAGGAAAATTTCCATCGATGAGAATATTCATAGATCTAAAACACAATTAAAAATAAGCATAATTAGCTTAGTTTTTCCTTACGTTATCTTCTGTCTGTAGTTTTCTTTTCACAGTCTCCAAACCCCATCAATATAGACTGAGCTCCCTTAAAGAATACCTAAATATATTTGAAGAGCTAAGATTTAACTTTAATTTGACATGAGAAAATTTGAAAAATGCTTGCTGATACAGTTAAAAATAAAATACTAGTTGCCCACTTACTGAGCACTTACTATGTGTCAAGCACTGTACTAAGTACTTTACCCCCCATTATCTCATGTAATACTCAACCCTGAGAGAGAGATACTAATATCCCCATTTTATAGCTGAGGCTTGTGAAGCTTTAAATATTAAGCAATTTGCCCAAACTCACTCATTTATTATGACTAATAAACAACAAAGCAAGGGTTTTAACACAGATCTGTCTGACTTCAAAGTCTATACCCTTATTGCTGTAACACACTTCTATTAAAAAATGAAAGAAATAAGTCAGATACATAGTTATGCCTAGCACTCTTTATCTTATTCAGCATAACCTGTGATCATTGTTAGATTAAGGGCCTTAGATTCATTTTTTTTGAGGAAACAGCAAGGACACCAAGCTAACGCTGAAAAAGGCAGCAGGAGACGTAGAGAACAGTTGTTTTCCCATACCTTTAAAGCCGCAAAGTCAACTTGCAGTCTTCAGATTTATCTTGCCACTTGTCTTTAAGCAGCACAGATGGTATCATCTCTTACTTTCCTTCTCTGCAGAATTTCGTGCTGGATTCCAAAGAGTATTTTTCCAACTTAACAAAAAGATGATGACTAATGCTTTTTACAAGGAGGTAATCCATGAAAAGCCTATTCCATGTAATCCAGGATAGGGTTTAACATGATTATTGAACTACATTGGGAAATAAATGACACTAAACCCCAAAATAATTTAATGACAATTTTAAAGAGTATACAGTAATTAAAACAACAGACATTTAAAATCAGAACCTACAGTAAATAGACATTTTTTTAAATTAATATTTCAGTTCTCTTAAAATACACACACACACACACACACACACTTATTTGCTTATATATACAAACTATTTCTGAAGTATACATTAAAAAGCTGTTACACTGGGATGTGGAGAGACAGAGTTAGGGGACAGATTTTTTTCACTGTGTACGTTTTTATGCTTTTTGAATTTTGAATAAGAATTACTTACCTATTTAAAAATTAACAACAACAAAAATTTAACAAAGGGTATCCCTAATATTTTAATGTTCTTTAATTACAGGAGAATAAATAAACACACACACAAGAATGAAAAGGATATGTAAAAGTAAAAATTATTATGATATAACCTTTATTATCATGAAAATCAATAATGGCTTCTGGCTAAACTAAATATCATGTCACCAGTACATTATAAACTTATTCACAAATCTGTGTTTTAGGAATTCTACTGGTACCAAACCTGGGATTTTGAATCTTTTAGGAAGTTATAAAACTAGTAATAATTCTTGATTTATTTACTATATTTCACAATGTTGCACTAACAAAAATGCTGAATTCCTTTTTTAAATCAAAACAAATATTACACTTCAAATAGAAGCCATGAACTACAAATTAATATGTGAGACTGACAAAAAATTTTAAATAAAGTATAAAATAATTAGTGCTGTTAGATTTAAAAAATCATGCAAATCATGGATTCTACAAAAGTGAAAAACAAAAACAAAACAAAAAAACCAATAGACGTCCTTGGTGTTAAAAAAAAACAACCAGAATCACTAAATCTTTCTAGAAAAGTGACTGGTGGAAGAGGGAAAGGGCATTTCAAGGCGTAAATTTACCTCCCATCCCTCCCAGAGCAGTGCCAATATGCATCATCCCCTTCCTTCTCCTTAGGTTTGCAAAATATTGCCGTAAGAAAGGTACATGTCCTTCTGGTGTTGGGGGAAGAAAACGACCGGCATCTACCTGTATTTGCTACATACTCACCCTTCTCCAAGTTTCTCTAAGACATCAAACACTTCTTCTGGCTGTTTAGTTAAACTATCTTCATCCAACTTTTTCAGCTGCCTGTGATTGAAGAAATATAAACACAAAACACATTTTACTTGTTAGCAACTAGAACACAAAATACATTACTTTATTTTTTAAATATATTTTTATTGACTTCAGAGAGGGAAGGAGAGAGAGAAAGAGAGAGAGAAACATTAATGATGAGAGATAATCACTGATCAACTGCCTCCTGCACAGCCCCTACTAGGGATTGTGCCCACAACCCAGGGATGTAACCCGACCAGGAACCGAACCATAACCTCCTGGCTCATAGGTCGAGGCTCAACCACTGAGCCACACCAGCTGGGCCTAAGATGCTAATTTTAAAATAAACAATGTGCCCGGTTTGATTCTGGGTCAGGGCACATGCCTGGGCTGTGGGCTTGATCCCCAGTGTGGGGCATGAAGAGGACAGCCAATCAATGATTCTTATCACTGATGTTTCTATCTCTCTCCTTCCCTTCTCTGAAATCAATAAAAAAAAATATATTTTTTTTAAAAGAAACACAAAATTAGCATCTTAGGAATTCCTCTATGACAGTGGTCGGCAAACTCATTAGTCAATAGAGCCAAATATCAATAGTACAACGACTGAAATTTCTTTTGAAGCCGAAAACCAACTTCTGCGCATGGGCCACAAAGTTTCAATCGCATGGCACATGCGCACGTGGTATTTTGTGGAAAAGCCACACTCAAGGGGCCAAAGAGCCGCATGTGGCACGCGAGCCGCAGTTTGCCGATCACTGGAAGTCTTCACTAGTAAACAACAACAGTAAACTTAGAGACTTTTAAGGGAAGCTGAAGGGCTGTCCTATGGAAGTATAACATGTGTCCTGAGTCACCCTGATGAGCAATATCAGGACCAGGTGGTGGTGAGCTACCAAGAAGCTAACTTCAGCCCAACAGGTGTAAGAATTTTGTAACAATAAAAGTAATTTCAGCCCTGGCCTGTGTTGCCCATGGGTTAGAACACTGGCCCACATGTTGAAGGGTCACTGGTGATTCCCGGTCAGGGTCATATACCTGATCCCCAGCCCCAGTGAGGGTGCATACAGGGGAGTCTCTCTCTCCCCCTCCCCCTCATCCTTTCCACCTCCCTTCCACTCTCTCTAAAAAATATCCTCACTCCTTCTGTGAGGATTTAAAAAAACATACCAAAAAAGTAGTCCTAAAGTGGTTTAGACAGCCTTAAGTTATCTCTAGATCCCCATCACTGGAAGCTTTAAACAGAAAATAAATCATATGGCTGAAATGCTATAGAGTGGATTCAAGCATTGGATGTAACCTTTATTATTAATTCATTTAAATCTTAATATTCCATGAATTAAAATGGTGTAACAATATCTTCAGAAAAGAGGTTTAATGTAAAGTTAACTATTAATTGAAACGGTCTTAAGACTGGAGACGAAGGAATACATAGAAGATCCTTTCCCACCATTAACAAGTTGTTCATTTTTTTGAAACACAGAGATTTTACAGGTATCCCAGGAACAGGAAGTAGAAAGTATATGCTTTGACATGTTCAAAGTGAAATATACCTAGGCAGCTGAGAGTTTCAAACAGCATCACAAAGACTCTCCCACAGGTAGTCATGCACCTCTGACTAGTCCCAAAATCAAAGATAAATGGTGGCTTACAATTTCCAGATAATTCAGGTTTTTCTGTTTATGCCAAACAACCATAACACACATGAGAGGATATAAATTAATATTATTTTAAACTCTGGAAAGTATTAACAGGCTTAAAGAAGGAGCTTGCTAAGAAATATTTGTGTGCCTGTGTATATCTTCTGCACAATGACTTCCTGAAACTACAAAAGACAACAAAGAAAAGAGAGCTCAGGAAATGGTGAAATATAGAAGTAGTCACACTGGTGATTTCTTTGTAAAGAAAAGGTTTAAACTAGCTGAACAATACCAATTTTTACATTCACACACACACTCAAAAAAAGACTTGAATTTTAAAAATAAACACACACACACACACACACACACAAACACACACACAAATGTGTAACTTCCTAGAGAAAAATAGCGAAACCAGAACAACTATAGACATACCAAGTGTATCTACCAACAAACACTGATCTAAAAAGAATAATCTAATAGAATTTTCAAAATATCAAAGACTAGAGAAATGGAGTTTTACTCCAAGTCAATAATTATCATAACTTGAAAATGAACATAACAAAATGACCACAGTGACCTTTGAAAAACAAAAGGTCCTAAAAATTAAATTCCAATGACATCATTAAAAACTCCCAGCTTCCAAACATAAAGGGCTGAAGTGAAACTCCTCTTAAACTTCAGAAGTAAAATTTCTTTTTAAAAAATGTTTTTTATTGATGTGAGAAACATCAATCGGCCTCCTGTATGCACCCCAACTGGAGATGGAACCCGTAAACCGTGTATGTGCCCTGACTGGGAATTGAACCTGAGGTCCTTCAGTGCATGGGGCAAGGCTCTAGCAACTGAGCCACACTGGCCAGGACTGAAGTGAAATTCTATGAACTCAGAAGTTAGGATGACATCTCATAAATCAGGGGACTTTTTTTGTAACTATATAAACAATGGACAATACCTCATTCCTCAAGTATAATTAAAGTTTTATAAACAACTTCTATAAAGGAAGATCAAATGTGTTCCTTGGAAGTGGACTTTGTGGTTACAAAAAACTAAACTCACTATTTCAACTACAGGGAGACCACAGCGTAACAAAGGAAACTGCTGCGGCCGTGAGAGAGGCAGCTGCAAGCCCCTGATAATACTCTGACACTTCAAACTCTATATGACGACTCAGATACTTTTTAAAAAACAATCTAAGTGCTCTTTCCTTTGGTTTTTGTTCCGGCGTCAGGTCTCTTTATATCACTGGTGCCTGATAACCCAGACATGGTCAATAAACATTTGCTAAATGGATTAACAAGTGCAATGATGGGCATCATAAACCTTTATCAGAAGTCTTTGTGAGTTTTCAAAATAAAATAGAATTTCACGCCCTGGCTAGTGCAGTGGTTACAGCATTGGCCCGCACACTGAAGGGTTGCAGGTTCGATCCAGCCCTAACAAATCAAAATGTCTCACATCACATCAGGCTCAGGCTCGGGATCGCTCTCTCTCTCTCTCTTTCTCTCCCTTCCCCTTTTTCAGCTCCCCCTCCCTTCCACTCTCTCTAAATATCCTCCAGCCCTAACCGGTTTGGCTCAGTGAACAGAGCATTGGCCTTCGGACTCAAGGGTCCCAGGTTCGATTCCAGTTAAGGGCATGTACCTTGGTTGCGGGCACATCCCCAGTGGGGAGTGTGCAGGAGGCAGCCGATCGATGTTTCTAACTCTCTATCCCTCTCCTTTCCTCTCTGTAAAAAAAAAAAATCAATACAATATATTTAAAAAAAAAAAAAAAAAATATATATATATATATATATATATATATATATATATATCCTCCAGTGAGGATTTACAACAGCAAAACACCCATACAGAATTTCACCCCAAGATTACTGGATTATTAACAAATAGGATTTCTATAAAAAAATCTTTTGATAAGTGACTTAATGACATTTTATACCATGAATCTTCATGGAAGAAGTACTATAACCATAACAGCCCAACTCGGATGATTCAGCTCTCTCAGCTGGGACTGGCCCAGGTCCTAGGTAGTTTCACAGCTTACTCAGAACCGAACAGGCGTGGCCAACACAGCCTCCCCGGACCAAACACCAGCAGATGCTCTTCTCCGAAGTCAGATGGCCACGGGCATGATCAGCATCCCAGAAATGCACTCTACACCTTCCGCCACACTATTGTCTAATGGCAGCTCACTATCTATCAACCTTCTACATAAGCATCAGTCACACACAAATGTCAAACTCATGAGCACAAGAGAGCATTTCCTACTTGGGATTGCTAGGAACACATACAGTCTGAACCTCGGAAAAGACACCTGTACTTTTCCAACCCAAATAAGAGTGTTTTATGAAATAGTTACTTTAGGTTTGGCTAAATCTCAAACTTCTTTCTCCCAACTTAGAACTCTAGTAAGGTTCATTTTATTTATGTATACCCATGCTTCTTTCCACACAGTATTCAATGTGGATGGGTTACAACAAATATAAATAAGATAAATTGATGAAGTTGTTAATGATAATAAAAGTAATGTGCTCCCTGACCCCTCAAATTCATATGTTGAAATACCTCCAAAGGTACTTCAGGGCCTTTAACGAGGTCATTAGTGTAAAATCAGGTCATCTGGGTTGGCCCTAATACAACACAACTAGTGTCCTTCAGAGAGCAGATGAGGACACAGATGAGTACAGAGGGAAGACGATATGAAGACATAGAAAGGAGACAGCCATCTACAAACAAAGAAGACAGGCCTCAAAAGGAACAACTTTACCGATGCCTTGATCTCAGACTTCTAGCTTCCAAAACTACGAGAAAATGAATTTCTGTTAAGTCACCCAGTCTGTGAAACTGACACGGCAGCCCTACCCAACTACTAGTACAAATGATGATCAAGTTAATCTGCTACAGAGTAGGCAGTTCACTAGTTATGAGAGCAAGAAGGCACCATTCATTTGAAAATTCAGCCCTTCAATGCTCTTCTCTTGCACATTTAATACTTTTTTTTAAAAAATCCAAAAGGCGCAGGAATAAGTGTCAAAAAAAAACAAAAAGCCTTACTCTTTTGCCCAAGATTACACAGCATAAGGCAAAGGTAGAAACAAAACTCAGATGCCTAAACATCTTTCAATTAAACCGAAGCCTTGGAGAAAAAATGAACATGCTTTGGAAAAAAACATAACCAGTGTACATTTATGACTGAATCACTATGGTGCTATTGCAGATCTTGCTGACTTACATACGGCCCCGTGAAATAGGGGTACTTTCCAGAGAGGCATGAGAGTGAGGCAGCTACGAGCATGAAATTTGGACCACACTGCCTGTATTAAAATTCCAGCTCTGCCACGTACTAACTGTGGGACCCCCAACAAATCACTAACATCTCTGTGACTCAATTTTGGGGTTTTTTGTTTGTTTTTTAAAATATATTTTATTGATTTATCACAGAGAAGAAGGGAGAAGGACAGAGGGCCAGAAACATCGACGAGAGAGAAACATTGATCAGCTGCCTCCTACACTCACCCTCCTGGGGATGTGCCTGCAACCAAGGTACATGCCCTTGACCAGAATAGAACCCAGGACCCTTGAGTCCACAAGCCAATGCTCTATCCACTGGGCCAAACCGGTTTCGGCATGTGCCTCAGTTTTATCACCTGTAAACTAGATACAGAAATAGCCATCACATGGAGTTGTTGTGGGGACCAAATGTGTCAATAATAAATTGAATAATATAAAATTACCATTTTTTATAGGTCAAAAACGGTCAAATATCAGCAATTCCATATGGTTCAACAGGAGACAAAGCGAGCACCAAAAACAGGGTCTGGCGTTCAGTAAGTGCTCTGTGAGTGCTAATAATCATTATTATCTCCGTCTCAGCACATCACAGCAGGGTGAATTATGAGTCTATCCCAACCAGCTATTTGCCTCCTGCAGTGTTTGTGCACTTCAAAAACAAACCCTAAGTGTGCAGCTCAGGCTGCCAATCCCTTCCCTTCACCTCTCCATTGCCTCACACTCCCACGCACCGAGCACTTCCTACTTCAGTGCTCATTCTGCTGCAGGAAGTCAGAGGTCTCTGTGAAACAGCTGCGCACTATGCTGCTCCTCAGAGAAGCATGACTCCCTCAGTCTCTACTGTCTGCTCTTCTCCAGATGTGGCAGGGTGACGGGCATAAGACCCTGGTGCCCGCAGAGCAAATCAATGATACCACTGCAACCAACCCAGGAGTTCAGACTTTCTAGGCTCAGCCACCTTCCTGATCTTAACTTTAAACAATTCCAGGTGGCTGTAGGATCTGGAGCTGATACTCACAAAATAAGGCCTGAGAAGAGCTCAATGACCCATACCTAGAGCAAAGAAGGGAACTCACAGGACAGAAATCTTCTAGGCCTCAATGTGCCCATCTTGAAAACATTCTATTTCCTCATCTACCTCCCAACATTGGGTTTTGAAGGGCTGCGGAGCATGTGAGGCGTATAAAAAGCGCTGCTCCAGGGACTCCTGGACGTACTGGTGGTTTTCTAGCTTTCTAGCATGTGAGGATATCAGGAATGAAAGATTGCCATCATCAGGACAGAGTAAGGACACTACCAAGAGCATCTTTCCTACATGCTATCCTCCTGGAAGCCTTCCCTGGTTTCCCTTCATAGTACACCTTCAGCCTTAGGAGCAAAGCTTCCACCTCATCAGGTCCTCCCTCCCGCATTGCCCCTCTCCGGTGGGACTTCCTGCCTGACGGAGTCCACCCAGCCCTCCTCTCTGCTGGTCCGGATCCACCCTGAGACGGACCCCCTCCCAAGATCTCATCTTACTTCAGCATTCCCCATCTTCTCAGAGAGTCCCTTCCGGGACAGCCTTCCCCCCAGAACACCTCCTCCACCCCCCTGAGCAGGTGCTCTCCCTAACTTGTCTCCAGGTTCCGCAGCAGTTGCTCCCTTTAGCATTGCCCCAGAATGTCTCCCACAGCCACTGCTCTCTCCCTATCCGGCCCCACGTTAATCCCTTCCCCGCGTGCTGCCCTCTGTACCCCCATCCGCCAGAGGTCCCCCCATTTAGCAGGTGTCCCATCAGCCGGGTCGCCACGCCCCGCAGGTCCCTGTGTCCCCCCCCCGGGGGGGGTGGGGGGGAACCTCGCACTCGGTGTCTCTCCTCCGCCTGCTCCCATTCCCTCCCCCGTCTCCTTCCTCCCAGCCAGTGGCCCCTCACCGGCGCGGCGGGTTCCTCAGCTGCACCGTCTCCATGGCGCTGCCAGAAGCTGCCCAGACCCACTCACTGCTCCATCTTCCCCCAGGACCTCCCAGAGCCCGCCCCGCAGACCCTCCCACACTTCCGCTTTCCGCCCACACCGGAAGCGGCGCGAGGCGCGGGGAGCTGGGCGGGGCCGTGAGGCGCCGGCGTCACGTGGTGCGCAGGGGCGTGGCCCCGGAACTGTGGAAGGCTCTTCACCTGAGCGCCGTGGGGACTAAAAGGTGTTGGCTCAGGGCTCAAAGATGCTGTCTCGTTGCGACGCTATTTGCCCATGGCAGAGAGGGTCCCCAGGCCCGGAACCCCTCTCTGCCTCAACCCCGACCCCTCGTTTCTCAGACGGAGAAGCCGAGACTCCCTGCGAAGCGCCGGCTTGATAAGAACTGCGGATTCTTAATAAGCCAAGCTTCCTGGGCAGCGCTGCTCCAGGGACTCCTGGAGGTATGGATGGGTTTGTTAAGCTCTTGCTAGGTCCTCGCTTTCGAATGTTATCTCCTTTAATCATTTTATCAAGCCTGTAACGTTAGCCTCAGTTTTGTGTACTTAACGCAGTGCTTACTACCTTCTCGGTGCTTTACTAATATTAACTCATTTAATACTCTGATCAACTCTACAAGGTGAGTACGCTAGTCTGACTCTCTCCCAAGGCACAGAGATGAAGAGTGCAGAGCTAATAATGTAGGGTTAAGGATTTCAAGTCTGACTCTAGAGCCTGCACCACCAAACTGACACTGAGATGGACCCGCTAGTTGAACATGTGAGTCAGAAAGCTTCCTTTCCTCTCTGAGCTCCAGTTTAAACTGTTGCCATTGGTGCGTCTTCAGTTGCCACCACCGTCAGTGAGTGTTAGGAAAAAGGCAGATGCCACCCAATTTACCAGGGAGGAATGGGGTAGGGACAGGAGCACCTTACCCGAGCAACCTTTCATTGTTGTTAATTGTCCTGTTTTTTTCCCCTATGCCATCTATGAAACGTTAACACCTGAGCAAACAACTTTGAGGGCTACCCAGATATGGCACAACATGTTCTAAAAATGGGATAATGGAGCCATTGCCCTGACACAGGAGGAAAACCTTCTATTGTCACTTGGTCCTTAAAACAATACTATGAAGTAATCATTGTTATCCCCAGTTTATAGGTTAGGAAGCTAGTGAGAGCAAAGATTTTAACCCAATACTGTCCTGAATCCACAGCATCCACGTTTTTTGTCACTTTGTTCTGTTAGAAATCTGTACAAATACCAGTGGGAGCCATGAGGAAGTAAAGATCAAGGAGAATTCCTACAAAGTTCAGGAAGCCTTCACAGGTCCCTCCTGCAAGAAGTCAATTTTCAGGCCTCTGAAATCCTCTAGCACTTTTCCTATCCTGCTTGACTTTTTACCTTATGTTCAGAGCCTGCTGCCCACTGGGTTTTTTCCTCCTTGAAAGCTTTAACCTTCCATGGTGCCTACATACTCATCCCTCGAGAGCCATGGTTGGCAAACTGCAGCTCACAAGCCACATGCGGCTCTTTGGTCCACACTTCCACAAAATACCATGGCCTGGGCGAGTCTATTTTGAAGCAATGGCGTTAGAAGAAGTTTAAGTTTAAAAAATTTGGCTCTCAAAAGAAATTTCAATAGTTGTACTGTTGATATTTGGCTCTGTTGGCAAATGAGTTTGCCGACCACCGCTCTAGAGTCTAGATGAATACTCAATAAACATGTTTAAAAATAAAGTCAATTTATCAATACATATCAAACATCCCTCCTTTGTCCCCTTCCCAGGATTTTCCCGGAAGATAGACATTAGCTTTGGAAGGTACAGAATGTCTTTTCCACTGTTGATGGAACCCCGAAGGCCCACCCAGTTTCAAGGAGAGCAGACACAGATTCTGTCTCTTGATGGGGGGGTTGTAAGGTTCTGGAATGGCAAAGAGGAGTGGAAATACTGTTTTGTTCATTTTCGAAAAATACGATTTGCCAATAGTGTATTTGTGTAGTATACCATTTAGAATATATCCAGCTGCAAGCAACTTAAAAAGAAACCAAAACACAACACCAATAATCAAAATGGTGACGTAAGGAATGGTGGCATTTGTTTATTAATTCCGGGTTGATTCAGTGGCTCAACAATGTCAATTTTGTCCACACAGCACCTTATCTTTTCCTATTTGCACATTTTTTGCTTAAAAAATGGCTAGCGCAGCCCTAACCAGTTTGGCTCAGTGGACTGAAGGGCCCGGATTCAATTCTGGTACCTTGGTTGCAGGCTCCATCACTGGTCCAGGTCAGATGTGTGTGGGAGGCAACCAATGGATGTGTCTCTTTAACATGGATGTTTTCTCTCTATATCTACTCTCTCTAAAAATAAATGGAAAAATATTCTTGGGTGAGGATTAGCAACAAAAATAAATAAACAGCCCTGACTGGTTTGGCTCAGTGGATAGAGCATTGGCCTGCAGACTGGGGTGTCCCAGGTACGATTCAGGTCAAGGGCATGTACCACGGTTGCTGGCCATCCCTGGTGGGGGGTGTGCAGGAGACAGCTGATAGATGTTTCTTTCTCACCGATGTTTCTGACTATCCCTCCCCCTTCCTCTCTGTAAAAAATCAATAAATAACAAATACACAAATAAAAATGCCTCCCAGGAGTTACACACACACACACACACACACACACACACACACACACACGAAATATGGCAACCACTACTCAGAATTATGTCCTTAACCCAATACTACCAAAAGCAGAAAAAGAGCAAAAAGGCTATCTCGAAGTCCTGTATCTCTCTTTTCAAGAAAAAACAAAAACTGTCCCATGAGCACCCAGCAGACATCCTCTTACCTCATTGGTCAGGTCAGATCACATTCTCAATCGCTAGCAAAAGAGAATGAGATTGTTGTTGTTGGTAATGTCTACTCTGTGCCTGTTAAGAAGGGCTCCTGGTGGCCAATTGGGCTCAAATTTACAAAGAGCCTAGCAGCTGGTGCTAAACAAGGATCTCTCATGCCAAGCTTTAAGGAAAGCATGAACCGCCTGCCTACTGTGTTGTGTTCTTACTGTCTGAGCTGGCCCTTATAAAGGAATTCCTGGATCGAAATTCTACCAATAGGAGCTGCACAACTCAATAATTATTTGGTATCTTTTTAAAAAAAATATATTTTATTGCCAAAACCGGTTTGGCTCACTGGATAGAGTGTCCGCCTGCGGACTGAAAGGTCCCAGGTTCGATTCCGGTCAAGGGCATGTACATTGGTTGTGGGCACATCTCCGGTGGGGGGTGTGCAAGAGGCAGCTGATCGATAATTCTCTCTCATTGATATTTTTAACTATCCCTCTCTCTTCCTCTCTGTAAAAAATCAATAATATATATATATATCCCTCTCCCTTTCTCTCTGTGTAATTATTGATAGCCAGAAACGTCAATGAAAGTCATCGACCAGCTGCCTCCTGCACACCCCTCACCGGAGACATACCCGCAACCAATGTACATGTCAATTTCGGAATCAAGCCTGGAACCCTTCACTCTGCACACCAATGCTCTATCCACTGAGCCAAACCAGTTTCGGCCTTATTTGTATCTTTATTGACTAATCAGAGTGGCTCCATTCTGACCAATTAGGATAGTGCTATTCAGACCAATCATACAGTGAGGATTTGGAGTCCTTATTTGCATAGAAATGGGCCAATCAGTGGCTGAGGGTGGCCACTCTTCTTTATATAAATCCAGCTTCCACACTGCGGCTGGCTTTTGGTTTCCAGTAAGTGCTGCATTTACTTGGCCAGAGCCATAACACCAGAGCTGCCTCATGCCCAGCCCACCTCACCAGTGAGATGTTTCACAGTTGAGCAGTTTTCACTGAAGATATTCTGCGTGCCCCCCCCCCCCCCCACGTTTACCACCCCTCAAATTGGGGGACTTATGTTGGGTTAAATTGGCAGTGATGACCTTTGGCTAACAATTGAGAGACATCTTGAATCATTTCCTGGGCCAGGAGAATCTCTGGCAAATTTAGACGCCAGAAGTGAAAATGGATATATTGAGTAGATACCCAACTATGTGGTTTCCCCCACCACATTGTGTTCATTCTTTCCTCTTTAATGGGCCTCACCTGGGCCAAGGATTCAGCTGCAACAGGCACCTACCCCTCAGTTCACAGCCTGGTGTGGGTTAAGAATTTAAATTATTATAACTAGATTCCTCAGGGCAGAGACCAGATCTTAGTCAACAAACTTCATAAGTGCATGTTGGGTGCCAGGTTCTATTAGGCCTTGGAGAGGCAAAGATAAAGACTTACTTCCTACCTTTAAAGAATTCAAAGTCTTTGAAAAAAACTGAAAAAAACTCAGAGTACTACCCTGTTTCCCCGAAAATAAGACAGTGTCTTATATTAATTTTTGCTCCCAAAGATGCGCTAGGTCTTATTTTCAGGGGATGTCTTATTTTTCCACGAAGAAGAATACGGTACACATTTATTGTTAAATGAAAATAAAGGAAATTTATTACCTGTATACAGTACGGTAGTACGGTAGTTGTCAACACAAACCAGACAAAATGTGAATCCTACAGTATCAAGAATTTACTTATTTATTCAATGACAATCATGTTATCATCTTCTGGAACATCATCATAACAATCCAATTCCTGAATTTCCTGGTGAATTTCTTGTGACTCCATTTCTTTCAGAATCAGTGGACCAAATCTCTCATGTTTAGCAATAGCATTCTGAGACAGAGCCTACGGGAGGCCTTATATTTCACTCAGAAGGAAACCTGTAAGTAGGTCTTTCGGAGGATGTCTTATTTTCGGGAAAACACGGTAAGTGCTAAATTAGGGATAAACCTCAGGAGGAATAGGAGCAGAGAAGGGACATAATGGAAGAGGGGAGGAGTATTCAGGAAAGGGCTTCAGAGGAGATATTTGAGTTGATTACAGGTTGGATAAAGCAAAAGAAAAAGTGTTGGGGGGGAGGGGGGAGAGAATCCAGGAGAGGAAAGCATACCCAAAGGTTAGGGAGTAAGAGAAACAGCTGTGTGCAGGTAGCAAGAAGCAGTTAAACATTTTAAGTGGGACATTAAGTCAGAAGAGGCTGAAGATAAGCTGTCTCCCTCAGCGGAAGATCTTTATCAACTTCTCAGTGCATTCATTTATTAAGTCAGTGTCCTTAAAGCTCCAAGTGCCAGTTCGTTTCCAGTCTCAGGGCCTTAACACACTCTCTCTCTCTCTCTCTCTCTCTCTCTATATATATATATATATATATATATATATATATATATATATAATATTTTATTTTTTACAGAGAGGAAGAGAGAGGGATAGAGAGTTAGAAACATGGATGAGAGAGAAACATCGATCTGCTGTCTTCTGCACAGTCCCCACTGGGAATGTGCCTGCAACCAAGGTACATGCCCTTGACCAGAATCAAACCCGGGACCCTTGAGTCTGCAGGCCAACGCTCTGTCCACTGAGCCAAACCGGTTAGGGCAGGGTCTTGAGTTTCGCTATCCCTCTGCCTGCCCAAATATTCTCTGGTCTCAGCTCCATTACTAGTGCCTCCGAGATGCCTTCCCCCACGCCCTTATGGAAAATAGTTTCCACCTGGCCCCTTGCTAGTGCATGAGTGTTTTCCTTACAGCACTAATAATAACACAGTGTTTTCCTCTGTCTGTGCTCCTGGGTTAATTGCCTGCCAGATCCCACGTGCATGCAAGCGCGTGTGAGCAGAGACCGGGCCTCTTGCACGATTGCACACGTGGCGTCCTAGCAACTTCAGGAGCCCCCCTACTGCTCAGGGCCGATCGCGCTTCCCCGACGTTAGCCCCGCCCTGCGCACGCGCCTGCGCAGAGGGTGGCGCCGCGGGCCCCGGGTTCGCGCAGGCCCCGCCTCCGCCCGCTCGGCCCCGCCCCCTCCCGGCAGGTTACCCGGCGACCAAGCGCTCGCCGCCGGTGTTTCTCTTCCTCCCACTCTCTGCCCCCCACGCCGTTCCGCAAAACTCGGCGGCGGGAGCGGAGGCGGCCGCCATTTGCCGCCGGACCCCAGGATGGCCCCCAAACTCTCGGACTCTGTGGAGCGGCTGCGCGCCGCCGGCAACCAGAGCTTCCGCAACGGCCAGTTCTCCGAGGCCGCCGCGCTCTACAGCCGCGCGCTGCGGGTGATGCAGGAGCAAGGTACCCGCCGCCCCGTCTCTCCCCGGGGCCGCTTCCCTCCCCCGGCGCCCCGGCCCCAGCTGCCCGCCCAGAACCCGGCCGCCCCCGCCTTCCCGGGACCCCTGTTCCCCGAGGCCGGCCGCCCGCCGGCCCCCCCCCCCTCCCGGCCCCGCGTGCGCATCCTGCGAGGAACTTCCCTGGCCCTTCCTTCCGCCTCGGGGAATAAAAGTCACATGGTTTTATTACTGCTTCTTTCCCACTTAGTGACAGGTCAGAAACACATTTTCCTGTGAATAGATTCTTTTTATCACTTTTTGGTTATGGTAAAAACATTACATTTGCCATCTTAGTCGTTTCTAAGTAGACTGGGAAGTGTGTAATATCATTCACGTTGTTGTGCAACAGATCGCCAGAACTTTCTCATCTTGCAGCACCGAAACTCAACACCCACTGAACGCGAATTCCCCCTCCCTCAGCCCTGGTGTACCTTTCCTCTGCCTGTATCTATGATTTTAACGACTTTAGATATTGGGAAAAAAGGACATTATAATCCATGTTGTAGCACGTGGCAGGATTTCCTTCTTTTATTAAGGCCGCATAAGTGGCAAGGCTATACCACTTTTTTGTTTGTTTGTTTTAATCTCCAAGGTCCTGCTTTGAATTCTTTTGGATGAATACCCAGAAGTGGGATTGCTGGATCATATATAGTAGTTTTGTTTTCCATAGTTGCTGCACCTTTTTACATTCCCATCAACAGTGCATAATGGTTCCAACTCCTCAGCATCCTCACCAGCACTTCTTTTCTGTCCTTTTGATAGTTGGCCATCCTGATAGGTATGAGTTGCCTGCTTTTTAAATGTCCTATTGGCTCCCAACCTGTTGTTCAGGCCTCATTCCGACCCCTGCAGATACATAGCTCAACTCACTTTCTCCTTAACCATTTATTCTTCAAGTAAATTACTACTTGTTGAGCAACTGTATGTACTGAGTGTCTAACAAGGCAGCGAATGCCCTTTCTCTCAAGGATCATACATTCTTTTTATATATATATATATATATATATATATATATATTTTTTTTTTTTTTTTTTTTAATTGATTTCAAAGAGGAAGGGAGAGGGAGAAATAGAAACATCAACAAAAATCATTGATCGGTTGTCTCCTGCTACCCAGGTATGTGCCCTTGACTGGAATCGAACTCCGGACCTTTCAGGCTGCAGGCCGCTGCTCTATCCAGAGTCAAACCGCCTAGGGCCGATTATATTCCATTGCAAGGCTATACCACTTTGTTTGTTTGTTTGTTTGTCTTAATCTCCAAGGTCCTGCTTTGAATTCTTTTGGATGATCATACGTTCTTGTTTTGGAGGGAAGGGTGGATCTCTTGCTAGTAAATAAGACTTGTCCCATAACTATTAGGGGTACGTAGAAGACAAATATGGTAGTGTGGTAGAGTTGAGTAGGGAGCTCCATTAGAATGGGGGGTCAAGGACAGCTTTGAGGAGGTGACATTTGAATGATGAGAAGAAGCCAGGTGCACAGTTTTAGTGCTGAGCTTTTCAGGTGGAGGGAACTGCAATTACAGGCATATCCTCTTACTGTATTTCACAGATGTTGTGATTTTTTACAAGTGGAAGACAGGATCCTCCACCAGCAAAAAGATTACTACTCGCTTTGCTGTGGTGGGCTGGAGCTGAACCCACACATTCTCTGAGGTGTGCCTGTACAAAGGCACCGAGGCGAAGAAGTGATGTGTGTTCCAGGAGCCAAAGCCTACTGAGCTAGTGGAGGGAGAAGTAGGACGAGGTCAGTTATACAGGCAGAACCTTATTGTGTAGACATTTTACACAACAGGTCACGGTAAGGAGGTTTTATTCAGAGAGTTTTTAACAGAGGACTAACATATTCTTAAGCGTTCTCCCAGACTTAGCTCAAATCAACAGCCCTTTGCCCAAAACCTCTTCTCCCAAGTGTCTTAGCAAGGAGCCCTCATTGGGATCCCTCTTCTGTAGTGCCTATTTCCCTTTGCCTCTTCTCTTCCTCATTTTTTTGGCTAGCATTTGTTGGGTGATTTACTGTGTACTAGACATTATCCCTTTATGTCCTTATACTAACCTATGATAAGACACTTTATACTCTTCTCGGCACTGCCTATGGAGGTTAACAGCCACTCCCCCAGACCCTCTGTGAAACCTAAGATCGTCAAAAAGAGGATCAAGAAGTTAATCCAACACCAATCAGACCAATTATGTCAAAATTAAGTGAAACTAGCAGAAACTCAGAGGTATTAATGGACAACAGTGTGCAGAAGGTTCAAGGCCCAATCTTGATGCCCAGCCTTGGTTATGGGAGCAACCAGAAATCAAATAGCTGAAACCGGTTTGGCTCAGTGGATAGAGTGTCGGCCTGCGGACTGAAAGGTCCCAGGTTCGATTCTGGTCAAGGGCATGTACCTTGGTAGCGAGCACATTCCCAGAAGGGGGTGTGCAGGAGACAGCTGATCGATGTTTCTCCCTCATCTCCCTTCCTCTAGGTAAAAAAAATCAATAAAATAATTTTTAAAAAGAAAGAAAAGAAATCATGTGGAAAAGCAGCCCAGCTGCCAACCCCAATGCCAGATTGCGCAGCAAAGAAAATGAATAGACAGATGTGTACACATTGTATTTGTGTTAATTAAACCATAAAATTCTGCCATCTGGCAATAAAAAATAATAAGACTCTTTATAGATGAGTAAAGAGGAGTTAAATTGGCCTGCTCCAGGATTATACAATGAAGACATGTCATAGGCAGGATTTTAATATGGGTCTGATTCCCAAGTCCCAAGTTTTTCATCATTTTGCTAGACTTCTTCCCAAATCCTTTGCAAATTGTAGTCTTTTTTTGAACTTCTGCAGTTTCAAACCATTTTTGCACCCTTCTTTTGTTCTAGAACACTCCTTTTTAGGCCCACCTGCTCCTCTCAGCCTCACTTGAGGTTGCTGAATAATCTGAGATATTGATACTTCCACCATCTTCATCCTACCCTAGCTTGCCTGGAATGGCATGTGCTTTTGTGTGGCTTCATTCTGGGTCCCTAGAAGAGCTATCATGGTATCTAGATTTAGTAGGGGACCAGAGTTTGGTTCTTACCCATTTCTAGATAATCTCTGGGCAAATTCCTTGATTTCTCTAATTTTTCTGTTTGAAAAGAAAACCAGGGATCAACCTAACAGTGAATCCTTCTAGCAAGTGTGTGAAGTGATATCTTCATGTGATAGGTGAGCACCTATCAGAGGGAGTCAGTGACTTGTGCAGTGTCTCAGGCTGGATTGCAGGTTTCGATGCCCTTTCCACCACACCACTGCTACTGCTGAGCACCGTGTTCTGGGGACTTGAGATGGATTACAGGTCTGAGTGCTTGTACTTGCTCCTTAAGGGGAAGGATATATTTTACTTCTCTGTACATTGCTTCTCACTCAGGGCCTGGCAAAATAAGGAAAAAAAGTTATGTTATTGTTTGTTACTGTTGGTATTGAGTGAAAGGTATGCATCAATATGGTAACATTCGTAGAGAAAAAAGCAAGTTGCAGAAGGATAGACAATAGAGTGCCGCTTAGGAAAAGCTTTGAAAGATATATCTTATCTGTGATTACATATATAATAAAGATAGACAAACATGGATGAGAATGTTACATACCAACTTCAGGATTGTGCTGACATCTGGGGTTCTGGGGACAAGGGAAAGGATGGGGATGAGTGGAGCGTTAGCCATATAAAAAAATGTTAAAGGTTGGAAACAAATATAATATATGCTAGGCCTAGTGATGGATACTGGGTATTTGTTACACTGTTTTCTGCATGTTTTACAATTTTTAAAAAAAAAAATTTTATTTTAAAAAATATATATATTTTATTGATTTTTTTACAGAGAGGAAGGGAGAGGGATAGAGAGTTAGAAACATTGATGAGAAACATCAATCAGCTGCCTCCTGCACCCCCCCCCAATGGGAATGTACCCGCAACCAGGGTGCATGCTCCTGACCGGAATCGAACCCAGGACCCTTCAGTCTGCAGGCTGATGCTCTAGCTACTGAGCCAAACCGGTTTCAGCATGTTTTACAATTTTTAAAAGAGAACTTTTTTTCAATTATTTTGGATATATACCGTGTTTCCCCAAAAATAAGACATCCTCTGAAAATAAGACCTAGCACATGGAAAGATAAGACATCCCATGAAAATAAGACCTAGCTCAACTTTGGGAGAAAAAAATTAATATAAGACACTGTCTTATTTTCAGGAAAACAGGGTAGCAGGGAGTGGAATTACTGGGTCAACACATAATAGTTTCTTTTTCATTTATTTTTTAACTACGGCCCATGCTAGTTAGTGGGTATGCAGTGGTTGAAAAAATATTTTTAAAACTGAAAATTATTGTGGCCACAGTAAAGGACATGAGCTTCTTGATATTCCTAAAGGTGAGGACTGCCCTTAGAGAAATGTCTGATAAATCTCCGCCCCATTGGGGAGCTTGAGTCCTTCCCAGATTAAGTTTTCCCTAGCAAAGTCCTGTCTGATTTGAGCAGGTAGAATTAGTCTCTGTCTTCTATCTTTTCCTTTTATTTTTCTTTGTATGATTTACATGTTTTCTTTTTGGGGTGGAGTGGGGGTGAGGGAACCATGGCTTTATTTATAAAATTCTTTGGGGTGGCATTGGTCAACATGGACATACAGGTTTCAGGTGTGGATTTCTGTGTTGCAAGATCTGTATGTTTACTTTTTTTTTGTAATAAAATTAACACACACACACACACACCAAGTATAGATTTTTTTTGAGGCAGAAGCTAGCTATTTCATGTTCTTTTTTTTGCCTGGTACCTAGTTTAGTGCTGGCATGACTGAATAAGATGCTTGGTGTTCTTGCTGCCAAGTGCTAATGGTGAATTTGCCAGCCTATCAAACCAGCAAGCCTGATCTGGTTACAGTCATCTCTGCTCCCTTTTACCAAAGCCGAGAGAGCTCTTAGCGAAATGCACTCCGTGCCCCAAGGCATCCGTTTCCCAAATTGTTAATCTCTTGTTTTCTGTTTCCACCTGGGCAGGTTCTGTGGACTATACAGAAGAAAGTGTTCTCTACTCCAACCGGGCGGCATGCCACTTGAAGGATGGGAACTGCAGAGATTGCATCAAAGATTGCACTTCGTAAGCGGTCAAGTAACTTTGGGGTGCCTGAGGGGCTCAAAGAGGAAGCTGGGTTTATCTGTCCTGTTTCTTCTTTGACTGATCCCACCAGTTACATCTGTGATAGACACTAGGAAGTGTCCCTGTCCCGAGGTCGCTGAGCATACTTGATCTCTCTGGCCCCTGTCTTGTATCTTTGGGGTCTTGGCTCTCCTGCTCTTAGGGTGGGTACTTACAGGTGGGCCTTTGTGAGATTTGGAACCTGGAGTTGAGGTAAGGTTGTAGACTAGTTAGTGGCTTGCCCAGGTTTTTTTTGCTTTTGGTTTTTGTGGGGGTTTTTTTTGGTGGATATATGTGAGAGAGGAAGGTAGGGAGAGAGAGGGAAATAAGCAAGGAGAAAGGAGGAAATGGTATTCACCAATGACCCGGTATAGAGGACATTAAACAAATTTTCATACTTCTTTCTTCTTCAGGCAAGTCTGGTGTTGCCTCTTTCACATCACTAAACTAGGATGTATAGCTTAATGTGTTCTTAGATCTGATATCCTGTGACATTGCCTTAGATCCATGCCCTGGTGATAGATGACAGAGGTGAGTGTGCTCATGGAGCCTGTGCTAAGTTGATTAGTGCCAGGTTAGAACTGGGCTGCAGAGAAGTGAGGTGGTAAGTGATTTGCCTGGGATCACATGGTTAATGGCAGAGGTAGAATTCAAACATCACTTCAAAGTCTCTATGGCATTCCCATTAGGCCACCATTCTTTGGAAACATAGAAGCATAAAAGGTACAAGGTACTTGTTCTTGATTTTGGGGGTATTGCAACTATGAAAACTGATGCATGTGCATACAACTTTCACAGTATTAGTGGCACTCTGCTCTCTTTCCTTTCTCCACTTCAGTCTAAGTTGAAAAGTCCCTCTTGCAAGGTTTGACCTTTTTAGTAGTGTCTCTGTGCCAGAAATGACCCCTATATTACAGAATACTGAAGCTGAGCCTGCCTGGACGGGCTGTTGGGAGTGCCCTGGTGACTTAGCAGCCAGATGACATTTCTGCCTCCTGCTCTAGAGCACTGGCCTTGGTTCCCTTCAGCATGAAGCCCTTGCTGCGGCGAGCATCGGCCTATGAGGCCCTGGAGAAGTATCCCCTGGCCTACGTGGACTACAAGACTGTGCTGCAAATTGATGACAGTGTGATGTCAGCCTTGGAAGGGGTCAACAGGTGAGCCTGGGTCACCTTGGGCATTCCCTCTGGAACTTCCTGACCTCTGTCATTAGCTTGAAACTGTCTCATCTTGTGGCAGGATCCCTTTGGGATAGGCTTAGAAATTCCTAATGACCTTATTGGCAAGTGTGGAAGGAGAATTTGCTATCATATTTGGTAGGTGTAAAGGGTTCAGGATTGATGAATTGGATTTTGTTTGTTTTTGCCGAGGTGCTTAAATTCATTCACGTAGTAGTAATTTGTTGAGCTCTGTTGAAGGTGTTGTGCCAGGTTCTGTAGGAAAAAGAGATACAGGCATCACTTGTTTCAGGGAGCTAACTAGAGTGGGGAAGGTAAGACCCAAACACATGCAGCTCAGACACAAGGCTATAGGGATATTACTTGTGGATATGGCTCGTATATTGTACTATGGCCCCTTCACAAGGCGCCTCAGCCATTGACATTTTGTGGATGTCCTCATTGGCGTGATTGACCATGTTGCCCTTCTTTGAATGGGCCGCTAGAAAGCCAAACACCATACTCATAGAAAACCCTTGTTAGGACTTCATGGTATATATTTGTGTGTCATTTCTGGCTTTACTTGTTTTCTGTCTACCTCTCCTTGTTTCTATTATTCAACAAATTCTGCCACTTGAGTGCCAGACTTTGCACTAGGGCCTGGTCTGATGCCCAAGACATACCTCTTCCTGTTCTGATAGAGCTTCTAGTCTGATGGAGAAAACCTATCATTTATAGGTAAGCACACTATAAGGGATGAGGCAGCACTGTGGGAACCCCTTTCAGGTCCCGCATGGTTCAGGGTTCAGGTTCTGGAGAAGACCACACAAATGAAAGAGACTAGAAAAGTATTATTTGGGAATACTGGGGGCTGGGGGGAAGCCCACCTCTAGAGGGAGGACTACTCCCCGCTCTGGCTTTGCTGTCCATTTTATTAAGGTTATGGGATACACCCATATCCTTTAGGCAGGAAATCACAATAATAGTCAATCAGCAATTACATAAGACTAACGGGTGGAGGCTGCTTTAGCTAACAATGTTTCAACTAAGTGGTTAGAGCAATTAAGTTTGTTGACCAGCCTTCTGGGTTTCCTGTCCACATCTTTCTATTAGTGAGACAATGATCTGTTTCCGGCACAGCACAGGTGCAGTAGGAGCAGAAATGAGGCACGTAGTCGGCGAGGGGGAAGCCTGAGTGGAGGTGAGCTGAGGCAGAGATGAGTAGAGCTCTAGGGCCAAAGGCCAGCAAGGAGAAAGGGCAGCCTGTGCAAGAGTGAGCGTGATGTCCTACAGAACCTGTGAGCAGTCCATTTCACATGGTGCTGCATGGATGGATGATGAGGCCAGATCATAGAGCTTGGTGTTCAGGAGCTTGGACTTAACCCAAGCACAGTGAGGCATCATGAAAGGGCCTTAAGCAGGGAGCAAAATGAGCAGATTTGAAACTCACTGATTGTCATATGGGAGGATTACATGGAAAAACAGACTGGGAAGGGGGCATGCACTATGCAGAAGAGATGGTCGAAACAGTGGATAGAGAGCAGTGGGACCATTTAGAGGACATTTAGGGAGTATTTCACCCAAGTTTTGGTGGTTGGGGTGGTGAGAAGGGCAAAATAGAGAAACTAGGGATTTAACAAGTTGAGTTGGAGATGATTTTGGGACATGAGACGAGAGAGATAAGGAAGGCAGTGGGTGTTTACATAGATTTGGAGCAAAGGAGAACAATACCAGCCAGACATGCAGATTAGAGGGTTATCAGTGTAGAGGTAAATTGAGGTTGTGGGAAAAAAGAACGCAGCCAGTATGTAGGAAGAAGAGGTTGGAACTTTGAGAAATTCTAGCATTTCAGGGACTTACAGATTAGCAGCTGGAGCGGTAGGAGGAAACTTGAAGTATTTAGTGTCACAAGGGAAGGAGTATTTCCAGAAGGATGAAGCTGTCACTCATGTCACGTGTTTCAGTGAGCTTAAGTAGACGAAGGGTTGAGGAATGAAGTCACTGGTGAGTCTGGTAGAAGTGTTTCAAAGGAATCAAATGGCAGAGGAGTGTAGCTGTAATGACAGAGAGTTGTCCAGAGGAATTGTATTCAGTGAGGAAAGAGTTAAATGCTGGTAGTCACCAGAGAGAAACATGAAGATACAGGAGAGGGAGATGCTGGCTGAGTGTGGCAGGGAGAAATGGGGTCCAGAGCTTAGGTGGAGGGATTGGCTTTATCAGCTCTTCTGTTGTGACAAGAGAGACATAGAGAGGGTTGGATACCTGGGCAGGTATGTTTGTTTTGGAGAGGGGTGGTTAGAGAGCACAGTGGAAGAGATGAGAGGGTTAAAATAGCTGGGATGACCATAAAAATAGTTTTGAGGGCTTAGTCAGAGACCATGAATTAGTAGTGATATCATTGTGTTGTTTTCATTCTAGTATTAAAAGAATATGGTTGTAAAGTAGAAAAGGCATACAGTTGGTTTTATTCACTCATTGAACACATACTTACTGAGTCTTGATGGGTGCCAGGTAATGATGTGCTAGGTGCTATAGTACAGTTAAAAAATTGGACTGGCCACTGAGCAGTGTTTTGAGAATGTTAACTGGCCTAGAAGTTGGGTACGGGGACTGGGAAGTGGAAGAGATTGTTCCAAGAAGAGGACAGCCATGTGGAGAAACTTAAACATAAGGATCAAGAGAGAATGTGGCGCCCTCGCTGGTTTGGCTATGGATAGAGCCTGGGCCTGCGGATGAAGGGTCCCAAGTTCAATTCCCGTGAAGGGCACATGCCCAGGTCGATCCCCAGTAGGGGGGCGTACAGGAGATAGCCAGTCAATGATTCTCATTGATGTTTCCCTCTCACTCACTTCCTCTCTGAACTCAATAAGAAATGTGTTTTGATTTTTTTTTAAAGAGGGAATGTGGCCCTAACCGGTTTGGCTTGGTGGATGGAACATCAATTTCAGTAGGGGCATGTGCCAGTGGGGGGTGTGCAGGAGGCCGCTGGTCAATGTTTTCCTCTCATCGATGTTTCTAACTATTCCCTCTCCCTTCCTCTCTGTAAAAAATCAATAAAATATGTATTTTTTTTAAAAAGAGGGAATGTGGCAACTGATAAAGATGGAGAGGTGGGAGGAGACCAGATATCAGGCCCTAGGGAAATGGGAAAGACAGAAGGATTTTAAAATTTGAGAATGACATAAGATTTTCATTTTTTTAAACATCTCTGAGCATAAATCCAAAATCAGGTGCTTGCATGACTTTATAATAGATCTGTTAAAAAATATAAAACATGCTCCTTCCCTGGGGAATGTGTGGTGCTTTGGGGTTAAGGTAGTGTGTAAGTACCTTTAATAGGCAACAAACAGGTCATCACTGTGGTCTGACCAAACGAGGGCCATGCAGGGCGGGAACGTCACTGAGGCTAAACTGTTTTGAGAATGTTAACTGGCCTAGAAGGTGGGTGGCACTCAAGTTCCTCTCCTGCTGCATGTCAGGAGGATATGAAGGGTTATCGAGGGAAGATGATACCTGTGACTCTCATATACCTCCTTTGGGTTTAGGAGAGGGGGAACATGAGTGCTTCCTAGCCCAACCTACATCTCCCTGTAATCCTGCCTTTGTTTCCAGAATGACCAGAGCCCTCATGGACTCCCTTGGGCCGGAGTGGCGCCTGAAACTGCCCTCTATCCCCTTGGTGCCTGTTTCAGCTCAGAAGAGGTGGGATTCAGAATACCACAACGAGACACCGAAAGGCAAATCCAAAGAAACCACAACTGCCAAGAGCAGAGGTAAGCTGTGACTTCCTGCTCAGTTTTGCAGTTTCCCTGTAGCCACTTTCTTTAGAGTAATCCTATAAAAATTGGCCTTAAGCTGAGTTATAAAAACAATATTAAAACAGGAAAAGTCTTAATCTCAGAGGCTGTCCCAACTCTACAAGGAGGGTTGTGAGAAAACCTCTCCCCCTGGAGGGATTAAGTGATAGAAGGCATGTTGAGCTCCTAGCCTGGCACATAGTATGCAGCATTTGTTCCCTTCTCTCTTCTGGCAGCATTTGGGAACTATCGTGTTGGATGCTTTGGTTGCAAGAACAGAAAATGTACCATGGTAAAAATAACAGATTTTACTGGCTCATATAATTGGAAAATCCAGAATTCAGGTTCAGGCAAGGTTCACCCAACAGCTGTCTACATTATCAGGTTCTGATTCCATTTCTCTGTACTTCTCTCAACTTTCTTCTTTGGTGTAGTCAAGTTTGTCTTCGGATGGGCTTCCCTCTTCGCAGTAAAATAGCTGACAGTTCCTGGTCTCATCCATATACCTTGCCTCATGACCCAGAGGGAGAGAAGAACTTTCTTTCAGAGAGGGTTTCTTCCCCCACAAATCTCTAACTTGCATTTTCTCCGTTTATTCCAGTCTGTTTGGTCACAGGCCATTCCCTGCACTACCCTGTTTCCCCGAAAGCAAGACAGTGTCTTATATTAATTTTTTCTCCCAAAGTTGTGCTAGGTCTTATTTTCAGGGGATGTCTTATCTTTCCGTGCGCTAGGTCTTGTTTTCAGAGGATGTCTTATTTTCGGGGAAACACGGTAGTTACTGTGACTGAGGGCTGAGATTTTGTGGTGAGCTCAGCCCTAAGCCACCTGCCCCACCTGCACAGCTAGAGGGCTCTGCTTCTCCAGGAACATGAGCACCAGGTGAGTCTCTGAGGAGAAGAAATAAAAGGAGGGAGGTCAAAGGCAGGTAGCCCTACACGGGAGAGTGTCCATCTTGACTGTAAATGAAGGGGCCATTCTTCAGGCGGGGGCTCACTGGACGCGCTAATAATGCTCCACGGAAATTATCCCAGCTCGGCAGCTATCGCATCCATAAACGTGCTGAGGAGACGCTGTGCAGAAGGGGTCAGGGCTGGAGCCTTGCGTGGGTGGTAGCAGTTGTCCCCTTCCAGGAGAAACCTATCTGGCCATAGGCAGCATTTGGTCTGTTTTGTGGGAGTCTGTTAACGGTTCCCCACTCTTCCCTAGGATGAACATGTGGGGTGCTAATGAACTAGATGGCTTCAGTGCACCTACCATTTGTTTCGTTCTTTCAGAGTCACTGAGCCATGTGTGTTCCAGGCCCTGCGCTAAGCAGTGAGACACTGGGTGGGCTGAAGTGGCCCTCAGAAGCTCTCAGTTTAATGAGAGACTGAGACAGCATTTTAAAATATTAAGAGTAAGAACAAGGGCTTAAGAGTCTTTAGTATTTGGGGAGTTCAAAGTCAAAATGATGTGTGTGTGGCAGGGGGAGTCAGGAAAAGGCTCACTGAGGCGGTGGCAGTGGGAGGTAACAGGTTGAGCCGGGCATTAAAGGGTGAGTTCTTCGGGTGGGAAAGAAGAAGAGACAGGAATACTTGGCAGAGACAGTGGAGTTAGAGAGGAATGCATGTGGTGTAGCTGGTGAACAGCGGGAGTAAGCAAGACTAGCATGTGTGTGTGGCAGAGCGGGGGGAAAGCTGAAGCTGTGTGTATAACCGACAGGTTCTACTTTAGAGAAACACAAGCACATATGCACAGGAGACATGTTCAAGAATGTTCACAGCAGAACGTTAATAATAGCAAAGAACAAAACTGGAAATAACACAGGTCTCCACAAAAAGGAAAATGGAAAACCAATTGTATTGCAGCAGTGAGAATGGATGAGCTGCTATAGGTATATGCATCAGCTCAAGAATATAATTTGAACAAGGAGGAAAAGAAAACAAGGTTATAGAAGAATACATAGAATTATTTGTTCCTTTGCATAAAATTAAAAAAACAAACAAATGGTTTATAAATACTATTGTATAAAGTAAACTACCAAAAACAAAAAAGGAAAGTATGCACAGAAGTGGGGATAATGGTTTCCTCCAGGGTGGATTGATTTGAGAAAGGGCCCGAAAACATCACCCTTGTTATATATATTATTTTATAAAATAGGTGATATAGTAGTTGGGACTGGAACAATTAATTCAGGCCTGGAGGCCAGGCTGAGCAGCATGGATTGTACCTTCCCTCCTATTTCTCCCTGGAAGCTGGGGCAGATGTTAGGTGAGGCTCAACCCAAAACAGTGATGAGGAATAGCACTCCTCTTCCTCTTTCTGAAAGCCTGGGAGCTGCACCCTTTCTTTATCAGGTGCTTACATTTTAATTATTCTCCTGCTTTAAGTTCATAGGAGGCTTTGCATTTTCTCTTGTAGTCTCAGATTTTCTCCTGACAGTAGTCCTGTGTAGAGGAGGTGTTGCCCCATTGTATTGGTGAGGAAATTTAGATCCAACAGAGAAGGTAGGTCACACAAGATCTTCCTGCTGCCAAGTGGCAGTGCCAAGACTAGAACCCAAGGTGCTTTTTATCATGTGTTATCATGTGCATGTATAAATATGTTTATATCAGGAGTCTTCAACCTCTTCTGAATGAAAAACTGTATTTATTTCCCAGAAGCCATTGATTGGGGGAATCACTGCTCAGGAGGGACGCTTTACAACAGCATAGGAAGCCTCTGGGGAGGGTTGTGGATGACTTAGACGATGCCGGAGACCTCACTGATCTCAGTCTGGCACCTGCTCCATGGTTTTTTCCTTTTCTGAATTTGTATCTAGTGCCTTCTTCTGGGGATGTGGAGAGAGCCAGAGCTCTGAAGGAAGAAGGCAATGAGCTTGTAAAGAAGGGAAACCATAAGAAAGCTATTGAGAAGTACAGTGAAAGCCTCTCCTATAGTAACCTGGAGTCCGCCACGTACAGCAACAGGTACCTTCCCCACAGCTGCTGGCCGGGGATTTCAGGACATTGGATATTCCGTTCCGTAATCTTCTCTTGGACTGCAGTGGGCTCTCCTTCGCTAGCATTTAGTCAGTATGTTACAGCTCAGAACATGCATTCACTCTCATGTGACATGATTGTTAGTGGCATTCACTCTCTTACAGGGATAGAAACTGAGGAATGCCCAAGGGGAACCTGGGCTTTGTTAACCTCCCTCCCCAGAATTTTCATTTACGTTGTCTTGCTATACAGACACAACCTCAACACTAGTCTTGCAGCCTTTCCACCTACTCTGATCCAACACCATGGCTTCTCCAAAACCCTCATATTAGAAACTTTGGCCCTGAGAGCACAAGGCAGAACCCAGGATATGGAGTAATTACCGCCTGGCCTGGGAGGGAGAGACAGGTCCAGGCCAACCTGGAGGTGAGACTCCCGGTGCTGTAGAAGACCCTGCACCTGCAGCACATGTTACTCTTTAGTTCAAAGATTTTGGATCTACTATAGGCTCACCCTTCCTTATCCAAATCTGTTTCATATTTTGTGAGGTAATGTGGTCCATAAACTGAATCACATACCATTTATGGTCGGGGACAGCTTGTGAAGTTAATTGTTAGCATTTCTGCAGTGAAGCAGAAGTAAATTCCACATTCACATGTGGTGGTATAAAGAAAGTCTAGCCTTGCCCTAGCCAGTTTGACTCAGTGGATAGAGCATCAGCCTGAGGACCAAAGGGTCCCAGGTTCAATTCCAGTCAAGGGCATGTACCTTGGTTGCAGGCACCTCCCTGGCCCCAGCCCTGGTCAGGGCTTGTGCAGTTAGAGTTAGCAACCAATCGATGTGTTTCTCTATCTTTCCCTCTTTCTTCCATTCTAAAAGATCAATGGAAAAATATCCTCCAGTGAGGATTAACAAAACAAAACAAAACAAACAAACAAAAAGACTTAGCCTCATGTTGGTTCAGGTCAGAGTTTACTGCCTAAGGAATTGAAAAGAGAACTTTCAAACTGAAGCTTAAATTGTGGAGCTGTGGTTTTCCTGGCTGAGTGGAACAGGGTGTCTCCGTCTGCCAGGCTAACTTGAAAAAGAGGGCTGCAGCATCTCCCAACTCCTCTTTCTCTGGCCTTGCTCACCTCATGTTGCTGGAGACCTTTAGTAACCCATTTTCATGCACATGTGTCTGTGTCAGTGTTAAGTACTGTTGCTTTATAATATTTTCCTTGTACTTCTCAATCCAAGCAGCCCTGGCTATTTCCCCAGATTTGCTCTTCTAGCTAAACCAATTGACAAATTCCCAAGAGTGTTTTGGATTTTTGACTGGGATTACATTGAATCTATTGATTTGACTTAGAGGACTGATAACTACAAAACTGAATTTTCCATCCATTGTGACTGAAACTACACCACATCTTGGATGTCATCTCAATGCCCCATCATGCACATGCCCTGTGAGCATCACCTTGGGCTCACTTCAGTTCTCTGAGTGCAGTTGATACCTAAGTGGATATCACCACTCGGGTACCGGCCCCTACAGCTGGCCAGCTCCTGCATGGACCTCCAGAGCCTCATTTTCTCCTCACAGCAATTCTTCAGCTTAGGTCATGGTCCCATTTTATCTGAGAAAACAGGTTTGGAAAGGTGGATTAACAAGCACAAGTTAAACAACTCATACATGGTAGAGTTGTGACTGAAGCCAGGTCGTTGTAACTCCAAAGCTTGGGTTTCTTTCACTCACTCACTTTATCTTCAAGACTGCTTTGTAATAGAAAAAAAAAAAAAAATAGGTACATACAACTAAGTGACTACTTTATACCCGTTGAAAACGATTAAGTGGAATGGATGGATTTCCATACTGAGCTCCAAGATATTGTTTTTAGTGACTGTCTTTGGAGAAAGGACTAGAATTGAGTGAGATAAACACACTTTCCCCCATAGGTGCAGAGTGGCTTGGATGGATGTGCATAATATAAGTTGAAATATTTTTCATTGAACACCCATATTCTTACCATCTAACTTCATAATTAACATTTTGTTGCATTTGCTTTATCACTATTTAGCCATCTGCTGATCCATGTTTATTTTTTTATGCTTTTCAAAGTTGCAGACACCTATATATCTCGCCCTAATACATCAGCATACATATCATTAAATCCCAGTATTTTTCTTAAGGCAGGTAACTTTTTAATCTGTCGGGGGAGGTTTCAGGAAACTTTTTCTTTGCTTAAAAGAGCACGGTATGGGGATATGAGGTAGACCAAATGCTGGAGCTCAGTGAAGCCAGGGCTGGAGGCAGGAGAACCCAGGTTGAGTCCCAGGTCTGCCCCTCAGGAGGAGTAGAAACTGAAGGTGCTTCACCGCTAAGCCGCGTTTTCACTGAGGAAAGGGGCTGGGTTGATGAGAGGACTGAGAACATGTAAAGTAAGCAGCACAGCGTAGGTAGGTGTTCAGGAAATCAGGGTCACTCTTCAAACTGTCTGGTTCTGGGTGGCCCCTAAGAAGTGACTGACCCCCTCGGAATGATCTTCCTTGTCAGAGCGCTCTGCTATTTGGCTCTGAAGCAGTACAAGGAAGCAGTGAAGGATTGCACAGAAGCACTCAAGCTGGATGGGAAGAATGTGAAGGCATTTTACAGACGGGCTCAAGCCTATAAGGCACTCAAGGTAAGATCCTCCTCAACTAAGTTATAGGCATCTGTGCCTATGGTGGTCAAGGTGGTGTCTGCTACATCCCTTTCCATCTGGGGGCCCAGGCAGCTCCTTCAGATCTGTATGCTGGGGTTTGGAAAGCTTCTCTGTCTCAGCAGCTGTCTTTCCCCTCCCGCCTCCCACCCCGCTTAATCTCACCTCATTCATGGTGCCATCCTCACACCCTTCCTTCTCTCTTCTATTAGGACTATAAATCCAGCTTTGCAGACATCAACAGTCTCCTGAAAATCGAGCCTAAGAATGTCCCTGCACAGAAGTTGCAGCAAGAAGTTAACCAGATCTTAAACTAAAATCCCAAAAGGGCAGCAGAAAACCTCCACTGGATGCCTTCCTCTGTGTGTTTCTGGGACCCAGCATGCCCCCAAGTGAGCTCTGAAGCACCCTCCCTCTGCCCAGCAAAGCAGCAGTAGCCTCCTACCCCTTAAGAGGCTGTGTTCACATTAAGCTCAGTGCAGCAAAAAACATTGTTTTGCTGGGAAGGTCCCCTGCTATGCTGAAGCCCTGTTCTCCATCCCCCTGCCTGGACAGCTAGCAGATCACACAAACAGGTCCTTAACAGCAAGCGCTGGGCCCTCTCCCTGCCCTGAGCATGCTCCAGACTGAGTGCTGCCCTAGGAGCATCACCAGACCCGCCTCACTGTGGTTCATGAGCAGATTAAGCTGGGGGTGTGGAAGGGGGGCCACAGGACTAGAAAACCTTGGCCCATCCGCACCTAAAGCAGCCTGTTGAGCTGGTTCTCCAGGGCTGCCATCCTGCCCTGTCCTTGGCATAGTCCCCTGTGTTCTGAGTTCCAGCCCTTTTTGGCCAGGCCCCACTTTGGTAGGGATGCAGAACCCTGACCCTGGTGTGGCTTTGCCTGGGGCTCTGTGCTGCTGCTTGCATGGAGGAGCCTAACTGTGTCAGGAGCCCAGAGGTGGCCACTTCTCCTGAAGGTGGGTGGGAAAAAAGGCCTCCTTGAAGTCAGTAACCTTCTGTTCTGGGCAGGGACTTTTGACCCCAACAGTGGCCCTCCAGGCTTCTTATTTCTTTGTTATATGAAGTTAATTTGAACTGAACTGACTCAGTTTTGTTGAACTGTGTGTTTAAGCGATTACATTAAACATTTTTCTTCTACAAAAAATGTCTGTTGTACTTTCATTTATGCTTTTTTCAGCTCTGCTGAAAATTTTGCAATAACAACAATAAAAGCTACCACTTTTCGATTAGCATTCAGCTAATCAATGAACAAATCATTCACTGAAATGTCTGCTCGGCCCAGGCCCCACATTGCTGGGGAAACCATGAGTGAGTGGACACGGTCCCTGGTCTCAGAGGGCTGACAGTCCAGTGGGACAGTGAGAAATTAACCCGATGATCCCAGGAGCAAGTGTAAAACTATGGCCAACTTACACATTTTAGGGGAGTCCTTACACAGTACTTTCCCTGCTAAAAGGAAAAGGATCCCCGAGGAAGTAAGTTTGAATTGAGTTCTAAGGTGGGAGTTTAGCTGGTGAAGAGGGGAGGGTAAAGGCCCTCACTGGGAGCACAGAGATCAGAAAGTGTCGCTCCGGTTCACAAACACCGTCTGGACAGGAGGGTGGACAGTGCTCCCGCAGCCAGCCAGTCTGCCTCCCTCTCCTGGCCTGTGTCTTAGTTCAGTTGTTTTCCTCTTCATGGAGCCATACCTGATGACTCCATAAAACAAAGCAGACAGAGGGTTTTCCTTATTGCCTTGCCCGTCACAGTGCTGAGCAGTGTTAGCATGCTGCTCCCAGCCTCTGAGGGAGAGTCTGCTGAGCAACCTGGCCTTTGAGCTGAAGTGGGTTTTAGGGTCCACAAACGCTATGGCCAGGGACCATTTCAAAGCGGGGAGCTGTACCCTCTAACTGCCCCCTCGTAAGCAGGCATGCCTCTTACCTGGTTTGAGGCAGGTTTAGTGGTGACATCCAGTCACGACTGACTGACTTTCTCTTCTTGAGTTCTAGAAGGCAAGTATCTGGATTTACTAATGAAAACTTAGAAGCTGAGACTATTACAACCTCAAGAAGCTTTTCCCTCCCTACAGGAGAGGAAAATCGTGGCTCAGAAGGTAGCCTAAAGCATTTCCACAGGAGTTCATGTTACACAGTCCTTTGGTCCAGAGCCTAGAAGCAGTTGCTGCTTCCAGGGTGTTTCCCTGCACTGCAGGCACTCAAGCCAGGCATCCAGGTGTGGGCACCTGCAGCTTTCGCTTCTCGGTGCTGCGTGGGCAACCAATTATCCGTCCGCTGCACATGGGTGGGTGGTAGCTGCTGCCCCAGGCCCAGCAGTTCCGTGCTGCTGTCCACACCCTCTGTGTACTTCAGCGCTCATCTGGTTTCTGACCCTTACAACCAAAGCCCCAGCCCAGGCAGGCCTACCCTTTACTCTGCCCCACCTCCCTCACCCAAGAAGGCCTCCTGGAAGACAAACCAGTTTGCAGCACTTTTAATGCACAAAAGGGGCAGGGAGGGGGAGTATGGATTGGGGAAGATGAAGGCGGGTGTAGTGGGGATGGACAGAGACAGGGTGCTGAACAGATGATGTGCTGTAGAATTGTACCCCTGAAACCTCTCTAATTTTGTTAACCAGTGTCTCCCCAATAAATTAAGTAAAAAAAGAAAAAGATGGGCTGGCTGCCCTCGTTCCACATACAGAGCTCAGGTACAGATACAGCCCAACTAGGAAATAAGTTATGGTTCACAGGGCTTCAGAGCCAAGAGCAGGAACACTGTTCTCTTGTCAGCCAAGGGAGTGAGGATTCCATTTTCTGAGGACAAAAAAGTAAAATTAAATGTTTCTATGAATTTGGGGGTGGGGGTTCACATTCAGTCTATAACAAGATTCTTTGGAGAAAATCGTCATACTTCAGGAACTCCCAATTCTTCAATCCTCTCTCACTTAATCTCTCAGAATATATAGACGTCAATAATTCAATGGCTGAATTCTATTTTATTCGTGTGTGTGTGTGTGTGTGTGTGTGATTCAGTAGAACCAGTTAGGTCCAAGTATTCCTTCTCATTTTAAACTTTAATAAAACTTGGCATAAATGTAAACTCAACATTGATATTCTGATATCAAATAGTACAGACTACAGACAGCCTGAGCGGCTAGGCCGGAAATGTAGCCTGGGAGCCTATCAAGTGCATGCTTCCTGTCACAGGCATGGCAGCTCCCAACTGCTCATGTGACAGAAAGTTTTCATTGGGAAATAACTGCATTTGTTTACACACGTTTATAAAAGCAAAAAGAGGTCTGTTTTTAGTTTGGTTAAAACTTTAGTTTTCAAAAACCCAGGAATTAGTAAAAAAAAAAAAAAAAAAAAAAAAAAAAATGAAGCACTAGACGTAGTAGAAAATAAACAGAGCTCTGAAAAAAGTTCCATGTAACAAAAATTAAATTCTATGAAATTCATTCAGGATTTCTTTCCTCTTTTTTCCTTTAATTCCTCTCTGTTTATCATATTCTTGTTTTAATTGTTGCAGTTACTCATAAAGTGAAAACAAACAACTAACAGGATCTCAATTTCCCAAAGTTTAGCTATGTCTCTATTGGTGTTTTTAAAATCTTTACCAAATAAATATATGTGGTTTCGTTGTTTGACAAAAAAAAAAAAAAAATGTTTCTCAAGTATGGCAGACACCTGGTCTCCCCACTAAGAACAGGGGCTGTACCAAGCCAGGCCTTCAGGCAGGCAGACAGGTGCCAGGGGAAGCCAGGCCTATGAGGAAGATGGGGTGGGCAGCCAGCAAGAGAACACCTCCTCCCCTTTGATAGTCCGCACCCATTCCAGTCACAGCTGGTCCTCTCCTTTGATCCTCACAGCTTCCCCCTGAGAAAGCAGTGTCACACAGGGTTCTCAGGGACTTTGTGAAAGCCGGCCAGTCCCTGCCCAGTTCCTTAGTGTTTCTGGGCTCAGCTATGTCTGTCACCATTCCTCTCAACCCCACCCACCCACCTGGTTTCAATTACATTCGCTTTCATCTTCTCCTCCTCCGTGGTCTGGTGAGTCTGCATGCAACACGGCCAGAGCTTCTTCTACCTGTGGGACAGTGGGAGGGACTTAGTGTAGCTGCCGTAAGGGTCCCAGGAGAGCCCTGACCTCCCCAGGCCTCAGCACGCTAAAGACAAGAGTTCCCCTCCCTCCACAGCATTTCTGCAGAACCCTCATCTGGCTACTGCTTGCCAGCTCCCAGGACAGAAACCCACAGTCACCTTCTCAAGACAGACGAACACTGCTGGGGAAATGATAACCCTTACAGAACACAGCTCCTTGTGCCAAAACCTTGCCTATGGAGCTGCAGAGAATCATCGGTGATTCTACCCCACGCCATGATTCTGCAGGTATTAGCAAGAAGATAAACTTCATCTGTCTGGTTCATCTAGGAGCCACCTTCGCTCCCCGCCTGCCCTCAGGGCGCTCTGCCACCCACAGCCCAGCCCACCTTGGCATTGAGGGACTCTGGAGACTCCAGCATGAACAGCAGTTCTGAGTTGTCGATCTCCAGCAGCATGCCCGTGATCTTGCCTGCCAGCTGAGTGTGGACATTGTAGATAAGGGGGTAGAGACGCTCACCTGGATGGAACAGCCTCTGATGGCTTATGAACACACACACCTGGCTGATAGCCCAGCACCCCAGGGGCGGTATTGTGGAATGGAGCAGTGAGGCATCTGGGTGGCTGTCCCTGAATCACTCCTTCCAGACTGTCCTCTTACTTAACCTGGTGACCCTCAGCCTCTTTCCCAAATGAAGGCATAGCAAACCCCATTTTGGAGGTCAATCTGCAGCATCGTATTTGATGCTGGATATAAAGTAGCTGCATGGGGTCTGATACAAAGGTGATTGCTCTTTAAGGACTACTCTTGTTCATTCTGCAGGAAATAGTTCCAAATACTAAGATTCTAGACAGGATATGATAATGTTGAACTTGTTTTTGTTTTGTTTTTTGTTTGTTTGTTTGTTTTGGGGGGGAGGGTGTGTTGAGAGGGAAGAGCCAAATACACCAGATAAATTCACCTTCCACCATTCTGGTACTTCTAATGACGGGCCTAGTGTTGGTGGTCAGCCATTTTGGCAATATGTGGAAAGTCTAGCCAGGCTGGGGTGCTGGGGTGCCCTGAGTGTGAGTGGGAGAGATCTTCCCGTGATGAAAGCGCAGATGTTTGCAAGGAACTGCTAAGAGAGCCCTCTGCCTCCATTAAGCCCACTGAGACCTTTTCTTTGAGGCACAGGAAATAAAGTGGCACTACGCCAAGCGAGCTGAGGAAACAAGGGGCAGTAGCAGTGGGGG